TTGTCCTTTTATAATCTATACCCACATTTTCTTTTAGCCCTACCAAATAAGCTCTATTTTTGTAATATTACCATTCGGTCCATTCTATAGACTGCTTTCCCTTGGCTGTCACTTAGAACTGAGCCTGCCTCTTCTCGATCCATAATTTATCAGGGGAATTTCTTTTCTCATTGCAACTAAGTAGTCATCACACTGCTTGTATTAATATTTCTCTGTTAATATAAAATCACTAAGATGATTATACTTAATCAGTAGGCACAGAAATCATTATGTTAGACAGAAGTAATTTTTCCCTTCTTCATTTAAAAATCATTTCCTAAAGATGGAAATAAAAATCACCTTAAAAGCTAAATACGTAACTCACCTGGAAGGTCGGCAAAATCTTCTTCTGTAGTCATTTTTGAGATGATCCTGAAAGAAAAGTAAATCATCAAACTGATGAAAAGTTAGGTTCTTCATTTGTTCATTCAGCAAGTTTTGCTAAGTGCCTATATAGTACCATAAAGAGGAATTCTTCTGGATCAAGTGAAGGAAAACTTGCCTCAAATCTGTTGTTTCAAATTCTTTGCTTAAACTACTTTGTTCACCCTGGTATTCATTCCATCTTCCTCCCTTTCCTCCATCTACCCCCACACCTTTCCCAACATCAAAATCCCAACTATCTCAGCTTCCAATAATTCAAGCTGGTTGGCAAGCAGTATCTACTAATCTCCTTTCCTTGCAGAAGATCCCTCTAAGATAATAGTTAAGGGCTAAAATGGCAAAGAACAATGAAAAAGACAGTGGAAGAGAGGACCATCTGTTAACAAACAAATTTAACAAATTTGTAGAGATGAAAAATAAATGAAGTATGTTTATTGAATAGTATAAAACAAAATAAATAAAATAGAATAAAAGCAGTAGCAACCAAAAGTTAGCTCAGAGGGTCCAGTCTTTGATGAGGAGTAAAGCTGATCTACCCAGGAAAAAGCCATAACAATACAGAACTACGAAATTCAAAATATGAAGAGTAAGAGTAAGAAAGGGAATAAACAGAATAACAGACCCCCACATCCCCTTTCACTATAAACACAGTATTCTACTGTCTGTCTTAACTATCACCAGCATCTATGGATCACCAGATACTTAGGGGTCTCTAAAACAAAACAGGAATATCAAGATAAAAATTTTAAAAATGGAGAAGGACCATGAGAAAACTGATACCAAGAATGAGAAAGAAGAGCAAAACCCAATATATAAACTTGTTGAATTATTATGTTGTACACCTAAAACTAATGTAACACTGAGTGTCAACTAGGCTTCTATTTTAAAAAGAGAAAGAGAAAGAAAAAACTTCAAACAAAAACAAAACTCTAGTACCTTCAAGAGACATCAGAAATACTGGACTTAGAAAACAAAAGTGATATACTATAAATGCTACATAACTAAATAATGACCAAGAAAAATTCTTATTAAAAACATGATGGCCTAATGGAGAAAAACTCTCATTAGCAAATGGTGCTGGGAGAACTGGACAGCGATATGCAGATCAATGAAACTAGACCACTTTCTTTATACCATACACAAAAATAATTCAAAACAGGGGTGCATGGGTGGCTAAGTTGGTTAAGCGTCCAACTTCAGCTCAGGTCCTGATCTCATGGTTCGTGGGTTCGAGCACCACGTCGGGCTCTGTGCTGCCAGCTCAGAGCCTGGAGCCTGTTTCAGATTCTATGTCTCCCTCTCTCTCTGACCCTCCCTTGCTCACGCTGTCTCTCTCTCTCTCTCTCTCAGAAATAAATAAAACACTAAAAAAAATTTTTTTAAATAATTAAAAATGGATGAAAGCCCTAATGAAAAAGGAAACCATCTAAGTCCTACAGGAGAAAACAGGCAGCAACCTCTTTGACCTCAGCTGCAGCAACTTCTTACTTGACAGGTCTCTAAAGGCAAGGGAAATAAAAACAAAAATGAACTATTGGGACCTCATCAAGATAAAAAGCTTCTGCACAGCAAAGGAAACATACAACAAAACTAAAAGAATGGAATGGGAAAAGATATTTGCAAGTGGTGTATCGGATAAAGGATTAGTATCCAAAATGTATGAAGAACTCATCAAATTCAACACCCAAACAACAAATAATCCAGTGAAGAAATGGGCAGAAGACACGAATAGATACTTTCCCAAAGACATCCAGATGGCTAACAGACACATGAAAAGATGCTCAACATCACTCATCATCAGGGAAATACAAATCAAAACTACACTGAGATATTACCTTATACTGGTCAGAGTGGCTAAAATTAACAACTCAGCAAACAACAGATGTTGGCGAGGATGTAGAGAAAGGGGAACCCTTCTGCATTGTTGGTGGGAATGTAAACTGGTGCAGCCACTCTGGAAAACAGTATGGAGATTTCTCAAAAAATTAAAAACAGAACTACCCTACAACCGAGAAATTGCACTGCTAAAAATGTATCCAAAGGATGCAGGAGCACGGATTCGAAAGGGCACCTGCACTCCAATGTTCACAGCAGTGCTTTCGACAATAGCCAAATAATGGAAAGAACCCAAATGTCCATTGACTGATAAATGGATAAAGAAGATGTGGTATATATACACAATGGGATACTACTTGGCAGTGAAAAAGAATGAATTCTTGCCATTTGACCCAAATAAAATACACGGTTTAAAGAAAACTGATGAATGAGAATGAGCAGACAAGCTACAGGCTAGAAGAAAATATTTGCAAAAGATACATCTGATAAGGAGACTATTATCCAGAATATGCAAAGAATGTTTAAAACTCAACAATAAGAAAACAACCTAATTAAAAACTAAATGGGCCAGAGACCTTATACATCAGGTAAGATGTACAAATGGCAAAATAAGCATATGAAAGGATGCTCCACAGCATGTGTCATCAGGAAAAAGCAAATTAAAAGCCACAATGAGATATCACTATACCTCTAAGAATGACCAAAATCTGGAACACTGGCAACTCCAAATGCTGGTAAGGATATGACACAATAGAAACTCTCATTTACTTTTTAATGCAAAATGGTATAGTCACTTTGGAAGACATATTTGGGGGTTTTTACAAAAATAAACAGACTCTTACCATGACATAGCAATCGTACTCCTTGTTATTTACCAAAGGAGTTGAAAACTTATGTCCACACAACAATTTGCACACAGATGTTTATAGCAACTTTACTTGTAATTGCTAAAACTTGAAAGCAACAAGATGTCCCTTACTAGGTAAATGGATAAACTGTGGTACATCCAGACAATATCATATTATTGAGCAACAAAAAGAAATGAACTACCAAACCATGAAAAAACATGAAGAAATCTTAAATGGGTAGTACTAAATGAAAGAACTCAATCTGAAAAGGCTATGTATGTATGATTCCAACTATATCACATTCTGGAAAAAGCAAAACTATGGAGATGGTAAAAAGATCAGTGGTTACCAGAGCTGAGTGGGGAGGGAGGGATAAAGAGGCAAAACACAGAGGATATGTAGGGGAGTAAAAATACTCTATATACCATAATGATGGATACATGTCATTAGACTTTTGTCCAAAACCACAGAATGTACAACGCCAAGAGGGAACCTTACTGTAAACTATGGACTCTGGGTAATAATGATGTGTCAATGCAGGTTCATCAATTGTAATAAATATAGTATTCTGGTGGGGGATACTAACAACAGGGGTAGCTATGCAGGTGTGGGAGCAAGGGAGTATATGGAAAGTCTCTGTACTTTCCTCTTGGTTTTGTTAAGAACCTAAGACTGCTAAAAAAATAAACTCTTTAAAAAAGGAGCCGTGGGCATTTGGTGAATTTTATTCCCCTCTTCTTTCTACAATTGGAATGCGTTTATTCCTTTTTAATTCTATATAATGTAAACAATGTAGGTGCTCACATTAAAAGGACGCTCTACAGCATTCTTTTACACAACTTTATGCAAACAAGCATTACTTTGTAACTTTTTATAAATGGGAGGTCACTGGTGAAAAGTTTCTTAAAAAGGGAGATAAATTAGAAAAATCAAGTTTAGGGCAGGGGCTGATGTGGGCTGTATAATACAAAGTAACCATAAGCAAAGTGTGAAATACAGAATACTGAATACCACGGGGGTTCAGTAACACGTAAACAAAAAATGGGTTCCCGCCTCCCCTTAGGCATTCATATCTTAATCACTTTTTAACTACTAACTGCCTTTCAGAAAACTTTATCCGTAACTGACACTCCACAAATAATATGCTTCTGCAAACCGGGAAATCCACACTGTTAAGGCGTTTCAATTCTTCCAGAGACAGAAAATTATTTGGAGGACTCGGAACTACCGTTAGACCAAAACAGTAGAAATCACAAGATTCTCTGAAGAGAAAGATGCCATCACAACCAGAACGAAAAGAAACCTTTGGGGAAACTATACGAAGAAGTTAACTCTTGGCTATCAGCACACGATCAGCCCTGATCTCAAAAACTTGGCGGGCTTTCCCACTGAAATCCTCAAGAAGCCACAGTTTAACATTTCATTCTCCCCGGCCCCGAGTGCAGGTACGCAGCAGCGGCCGGAGCCGGCACTTACCAGACCCGTCGCGGCCATTTTCCGAACCAGCCCCACCCGCGCCGGGGGTCTGGCACGCAAGCCCTCGCGGGCAGTGAGTGACTCGAAGAAGCCCGGCACCGACAGTCTCCCGAGGAGCAGTTAGGCGGTACCCCAGGTGCGCCCCTGAGGTGGGAGGTGGCAAAATTGAAGGAACTGCGAGCCAGTAAGCGCGCTACCGACGCTCTTCACCCATTGGCTCGGCCCTTCCCGAGCACCAGCTCCCAGCGCTCTCCGCGATTTGAAACGGTCTGCACATGCGCAAAACGAAAGGCTCAACGCGATAGAAAGCCGTTAAGGGCCCGCCCTCATATTGGACACTCCAACAGTCCCGCCCCTCGCACCGCCCTACGCAGCCCCGCCCCGTCTTTCCCGTAGCCCCGCCCTCCCCTTCTCTGTTTTCTCCTCTTTTGCTGCCCAAGCAATCGGACTTCAAGCTGGAGGTTTACGTAAAGCTGCCCTCAGCAGGCACCGTCTCGAGAACAGCTTTTATTTACTATTCAGCCGGGTGTAAAAATTGTCAGCGGTTCTATTACGGAGTAAAAAATAATAGTTGGAAGTATAAGAAGTAAAAATTGCAGAATTCGTTTGAAAAGAAATAGTTCATTGTGCAGGCTCGTCCTCCACACGGAGCCCATCTATGCACCACCTCTGAAAGTAATAATAATGTTGATGATGATAACGATGTATTCTTCTTTCAAATATGTGGGTAATACTTTCATGAAGCATTGCCAACAAAATGACTAAGGTAAATATATGTCATTTAAGTATAATGTCCTGAAAGGAGTCCTAAATCCATAGTCTTGAAATATACTGTATCCTCTGGGACAAATTGTGCCACTATTGAGGGTGTTTCCTTATTTATATAGTTATGTAATGGGAGAGCTTATAGATGATCTGAAGACTTGACCATTTTATGATGCTATGAAACTTGTGTTCTATTTTTTGTGATTTAATAAAAATTTGCCCAGGAATTTTAATCAGAAAATACATTACTTATTGAATAAATTCATTAATCAAGAGTTGAACTCATAAACCTTTTAAACGTAATGATTTAACAAACGTTATCACCTTCTAAGATTTGGGGTTTTTTTTGGTAGGGAAGAGGGACTATATGTTCTACAATCAGACTGGGTACCATTCTACTCCCAATAACTCTGCCATAATGAGTAAGTTGATTAAACTATCTGTTACTCTGTTAACATTGTAAAATGGGAATAATATTAAAGTTGCTGAGATATTGGATTAATTCAATTTTAATATCTAGGTGACATGCCTGTAACATGGTAAGAATTCAATAAATAATGCTTGGTTTTATTAAAAAGTTTTACCCATCAGACTACGTTATATAATTTGATGTTGTCATATTTGGAATACATCATAATAAAAAAAAAAACTATCATGTATTCAGTGCACACAATATGCTGTTTTTTCCAAAATGCTCTCCATGCACTAACTTATTTAATTCTTAAAAGATTCCTGTTAAAAGAAGGCAACTAATATTCCCATCTTACAGACAACAGAACTGGGACAGTGTTTAAGTAACTGCCCCATAATCACACTACCACCCCATAATCACACTACCGTTAAATGGCAGAACTGGAGGTGAACCCTGGTATTCTGATTCCAGAACTGAGCACTTAATCACTACACTCTTTTTACTTCTCGGTAAGAAATTTGAGCAAACACAATCACCACTGTGAATTTCCACATGTAAAATGATATACCCTGTTTCCACTGGAAACAGTAACTCTCAGAGGTATTTTGAGAAACTTGAAATGCAGTGACATGCCTGGTATGGAATGTGGGGCACAAAGGGTGTTGGTAATAACTACAGAAAAATGGAGCAACACTTTATTGAAACCAAAAGTTATGGAGATTCCACCATCCCCAAACAAACTTTTCAGTTCCCTCTGCATCTGTCTTCCTATTTAATAGCCCCACAATGATTTTAGCATCCTAAAATAGGATTGCTAGATGATGGACTAATGTTTATAAAATCTAGATTTGTCATTATAGGCCCCCTGCCCCCGCCCCCCCAAATACATCCAGATCTCACTTTATGAACTTCTACAGCAACTGAATAAATCTTGAAGTTTTCCAACACAACTACTTATCTAGGTGAGGAGTGTGTGTGTGTGTCTATCAGTCTATGGAATTCTGTGTGTTAGATGTGTATATGGGAAATAAAGTTTCCAGAAAGTGAATTTGAGAGGGTAGTAGAAACTTTTAGTTGCTTAGAATTTTATGCAGATTATTTAAAATTGATTAAAACTATTTTGAAGAATATTTTAAGCCTTAAAAATTTTGCACTATAAAAATGAACTTGTTCTAGAAATTGTAACACAATTGCTATTAAAACTTAAAATTTGACTTATTTATAATAAACTCAAACTGGTAATATGCCCATCAACTTATAAGTAAACAAATTGTAGTTCATTCATATGGCAGGATATTCCTCAGCAATAAAAACAAACAACTGAAACATGAGACAACTTAAATGAATCTCAAAAGCTAAGTAAGAGAAGCCAGACATCAAAGGCAACCTGCTGTATGTTTCCATATATGTAAATTCATGAAACTATAAAAATAGAAATGAGACCAATAGTTGCCAGGAGATGAAGTTGGGTGTACAAGACACTGACAACAAAGGCCAAGGAGGGAACGTTCTATGATGGTGGAAACAGTCTGTGTCTTCATTATGATACTCTATGTTTTTGTCAAAACTCTCAGAACTGTGCTTTTGAAGAAAGGATGGCTTTTGCTGTATATTATACCTCGATGAACTGTACCTGAAAAATTAATGTTAGAGAGTGTTACCAAATGAAAGTGGGCCCACTCCTTAGTGACTTATAGATAGACTACACCAGGTGGAATGACCTCACAAGGTCAACTTTATTTATACAAAAAAGGAGATCATGGGGAATAATTTCCAAAACAGTGTCTCTCCAACAAGGGAAAGCAGGCTCCTTTTATTAGGACTTGGGATGAATATTCAGAAGGGATTTTAACATTATAGTGAAGCTGAGGTCACCTTTGGCACTTTTTTCTTCTTCTTCTTCTTCTTTTTTTAATGTTCATTTATTTTTGAGAGAGAGCAAGCGAGCAGGGGAGGACAGAGGATCCAAAGCTGGCTCCACACTCAAAGCAGAGCCTGATGCCGGGCTCGAACCCATGAACTATGCGATCATGGCCTAAGTCTAATGCTTAACGACTGAGTCACCCAGGCACTCCACCTCTGGCACTTCTGATCTGTGAGGCACAGGGGGTCAGACCAATAGATAGATCAACCAAGTGAAATGTGCAATTTACGGTTAGAGTGTGATTCAAAACGAAGCCATATAGAGCATTAAACAGAGGAAAACTAAAATAGTAATTATTAAATGACAGGAAAATGCAAAATTTTCTTAGATATGATAATGCTACTGTGTTGATGTAAGGGAGTGTCCTTATTCTTTTAGGATAAAGATATACATATGAATTATTAAGGGGCAAAATGTGATGTTTGTAAGTACTTTGAAATGGTTCAGTTTAAAAAAAAAAAAAAGGTATAGTTAAAGCAAATCTAGGGGTACCTGGGTGGCTCAGTTGGTTAAGCGGCCAGCTTCAGCTCGGGTCATTATCTCACAGTTTGTGGGTTCAAGCCCCACGTCGGGCTCTGTGCTGACAGCTCAGAGCCTGGAGCCTGCTTCGGATTCTGTGTTTCCTTCTCTCTCTCTGTTGCTCCCCCACTCATTCTCTCTCTCACTCTCTCTCTCAAAAATAAATAAACATTAAAATTTTTTTTTAAATAAAAAAAGCAAATCCAGCAAAATGCCAACAATTATTGAAAGTACATGGTAGATGTATAGGTGTTTATTTTTTAAATATTTTTAATGTTTAATTTATTTCTGAGAGAGAGACAGTGTGAGCAGGGAAGGGTCAGAGAGAGGGAGATACAGAATCTGAAACAGGCTCCAGGCTCTGAGCTAGCTGTCAGCACAGAGCCAGATGCGGGGCTTGAAGCCATAAACCATGAGATCATGGCCTGAGCCAAGGTTGGACACTTAACTGACCAAGCCACCCAGGTGACCCTGTAGGTGTTTATTAACACTGCTCTTTCAGGGATGCCTGGGTGGCTCAGTCTATTAAGTGTCCAATTTTGGCTCAGGTCATGATATTATGGTGAGTTTGAGCCTAGCATCAGGCTCTATGCTGACAGCAGGGAGCCTGCTTGGGATTCTCTCTCTGCCCCTCCCCAGCTCACACTGTCTCTCTCTCTTTCACAAAATAAATAAATAAATAAACTTTAAAAGATAAAAATACTGCTCTTTCAGCTTCTCTGTATGTTTTAAACTTTTCAAACTAAAATGATAGGGCAAAATGGCATTAATAAAATTGCTGCAGTTCTCAAAATTTTTGCAAAAAAAGTATTATTATGCAAAAGTTAAAAGGGAAAATATTAGCAGATTACTATAAGAGAGTTTTGTCAGAAAACAATTACACTCCAAAAATCACTTTGTAAAAATTGTAAATATTTCAATTATAACTTAATTTGCTAAAGTGAAATAAACTTATTTGTATAATTCGGGAGTTTGTTTATTAATATAACATTTCAATTTTTAAAATTCTTTACTGTCAAATGTTGTTTCATGTGTTAAGTACATTCACTTTAACTAGCCTTTTCTCCACTAAGTAGAAAGGCTATACTAAGACTCTAATTGCCAAATTAATAAAGTGTGCTTGAAATATGCAGGTAGGTGGCAGCAACGTTCACAAAAACAATTCTATACAATGAGTTTAAAGTCCCCATGAGTTCTTAATTATAGAGTGCTGTGTGAAAATCTTTACAGTTACCTCTGTGCCAAGTGTTTGATTCTTAGTTGCAGTTGAACTCTGTTATATAGACATTGTTTTTCTTCACAAGAACTTAACAGGGGCAGCAGGCTCAGTAGGTAGAGAGTGTGACCTTTTTTTTTTTAATGTTTATTTATTTTTGATACAGAGAGACAGAGCATGAGCAGGGCAGGGGCAGAGAGAGAGGGACACAGAATCTGAAGCAGGCTCTGAGCCGTCAGCTCTGATCCCGATGCAGGGCTTGAACCCACAAACTGTGAGATCATTATCTGAGCCAAAGTCAGATGTTTAACCAACTGAGCCCCCCAGGCACCCCGAGACTGTGACTCTTGATCTGAGTTCTGAGTTTGAACCCCATACTGCTGGTAGAATTTCCTTATAAAAATTTTTTTAATAAATATTCTCTGGCTCTCCATTTTGTGGGCTGTAGTTTCCTTCTAGTTAGCATAATTCTGAAAAATTATCTTTTGTCATTTAAAACACATTTAGGGTCGCCTGGCTGGCTCAGTCAGTTAAGCATCCAACTTTGGCTCACGTCATGAACTCGCAGTTTGTGAGTTAGAGCCCCACGTCCAGCTATGCTGACAGCTCAGATTGGAACCTGCTTCAGATTCTGTGTCTCTCTCTCTTCTCTGTCCCTCCACTGTTCATGCTCTGCCTCTCTCTCTCTCTCTCTTTCTCTCTCTCAAAAATAAACATTAAAAAAAAATTTTTTTAAAGAAAGAAATATGCTCTTGGGTGACTCACTCCATTAAGCATCTGACTTTGGCTCAGGTCATGATCTCATGGCTCATGAGTTGAAGCGCCACATTGGGCTCTCCAGCTCTCAGCACAGAGTCTGCTTCAGATCTTCTATATCTTCCTCTCTCTCTGCCCTCTCTTGCGTGCTCTTTCTCTCAGAAATAAAACAAACATTAAAAAAAAAAAAAAGAAACTTTCAAAAAGTACGATTAGATTATCAAAAGCTTAATACTTTCTGCATTATATGTTTAACCTTGCAAAGACTTAAATTACCTTAGTGGTACTAGGCAAAAATTTAAATAATGAATGTTAGTATTTATTGACATGGATATGTGCTGCAGATATATAACTTTTCAAAGACTTAAATTACTTTGGTGGTACTAGACAAAAATTTAAATATTGAACGTTAGGGGGCGCCTGGGTGGCTTAGTCGGTTAAGCGTCCGACTTTCGCTTAGGGCATGATCTCACGGTTCGTGGGTTCGAGCCCCGCGTCGGGCTCTGTGCTGACTGCCAGCTCGGAGCCTGGAGCCTATTTCGGAGTTTGTGTCTCCCTCTCTCTCTGACCCTCCCCTGCTCACGCTGTCTCTCTCTGTCTCTCTCTCCTAGAAATAAATAAAAATATTTAAAAAAATTGAACGTTAGTATTTATTGACATGGATATGTGCTCCAGATATATTATATGAAAAAATGTAGTTTATCAAATCTCATGTACTTACCTGATTATATAAATATACACAAATAAAGATAAAGTGCTAGAAAGATGATAGTACCCATCCAAACAGTGCTAATGGTGGATGGTGGAAGGGCATGTGATTTTCATTTTTTTAATTTATACCTTAAGACTTGTTTTTTTCTAAAACTTATATAAGTTTTCCATTTATTAGGAAAAATTAAGAAATTATTTTAAGTATTTATAAACGATGATATATGAGATGTTTGTAAATTCAAGTGCCTGTAGAAAATCATAAAGTGCCCAAACATTAGCTTGTAGGCCATATCTAACAGTAAGAAATTTAAAGGGTAAAGGAAGTAGGAAAATAAACTGCAAGCAAAGACATAAGGCAGAAAGGTCATGATCTCACAGTTCGTGTTTGAGTCCTGTGTCTGGTTCTGAGCTGAGTGGGCAGCACTGGGATTCTCTTTCCCTCTTTCTCAGCCCCTCTCCCACATGTGTTTTTTCTCTCTCAAAAAAAAAAACAAAAAAACACCTTATTAGTTTATAAATAAATAGGGACGCCTGGGTGGCTAAGTTGGTTGAGCATCCAACTTTGGCTCAGGTCATGATCTCATGGTTCGTGGGTTCGAGCCCCGCATAGGGCTCTGTGCTGACAGCTCAGAGCCCAGAGCCTGCCTAGGATTCTGTGTCTCCCTCTCTCTCTGACCCTCCTCTGCTCACACTCTGTCAATCTCTCTCAAAAATAAATAAACATTAAAAACTTTTTAAAAATAATAATAAATAAAGTTTTTTAGAAAAGGAAATGACGTGCTGTTGACACAGAAAATCTGTCAGATACTATAGAGTGGTCATGTTTGCAAAATGAATTAGATTACTGAACACCTTCAGTGTTAGCATAAATTTTCACTTCTTCCTGTAGATAGTACAGAACTATATATTGATCAGGCTTTAGTTCTATAGAATAGACTTCATAATAGCTAATTTGGGCAAAAAAAATGGGATCTACCAATAGGCATTTATTGGTTTACTGAATTATTGGGATGGATGGAGAAATAACATATTTGGGGCTTTCAGGAATGATTCCTAAAGACACACTGCAGAACTGAACACCAAGAGACAGCTGCTGCATATACAGTCAGGAAACAAACTGAAAAACTGAGAAGCTAATGGTGATGCTGGAGTCTCCAGAACCATACTGGCACTGCACAATCAGGAAGTCACTTCAGTTACGAAAGTGCCGTGTGTAAGAAGCCACAACAAATAAGTCTCCATGAACAGGAAGCCTCCTTGTAGCTGTTGGCTCCGGAAACATATCATACTCGCCATGACAGGTACCAGAAATTTGATGTTCCATGCTTTGACTCTCACCACCCATGAAACTAGTGATCAACTACTGAGACTTCTGACTGATATATTGCCACAGAAAAGTTAGATGCCTACAGACCATGCTTCACCCTAGGGGGAAAACAAAACAAAAGGGCAAATCAAGAATAAATTCTGTCTCTATTCTACCTTTCTACCTAACTGCAGCTCCAAAAATAAGTCTGGATGTGTAGTTTTCAGCTTTTCAGCCTCTGCAGTAAAGAATGGCATACTGAGGTGCCTGGGTGGCTCAGTAGGTTGAGCATCCAACTCGGTTCAGGCCATGATCTCACAGTCCCCCAGTTCATGGGCCTGAGCCCCATGGTGGGCTTTGCCCTGACAGATTCAGATTCTTTTCTGCTTCAGATTCTGTCTCCCTTTCTCTCTCTGCCCCTCCCCCACTCACACGCACTTGCACTCACTGTCTTTTTCTCTCAAAAATAAACAGTAAATAATAATAATAATAATAATAATGGCACACTGGAAGGGGCTGGAATGGATACTGAGCACTAACTTACCTTATCCCACAAAGCAGCGCTAGTGGATTTTAAATGAAGCAGAGAGGAAGAAAAAATGTAGACCTAACCTTTCTTTACATTGAGCTTGACGTAGTTAAAACTAAATCCATTATGCTCTACCTTGCAAACTATCACCCTATCTGGAATTTTCAGTTTCTATTAAAGCTGCTATTATGCAATGATTTGTCTCACTTAGAAACCAGTATGTGTCCTGTATCTATGTGGCATCCAAGAAACATTTCTCAGTAATATAAAGAATACCCTACACTACAAAAATAGTGAGAACATATAACCAGAAAAACTCATCCTAGATGCAACTCTTTATACTAAAAATTGTGTCAGCAAATTAAACCACTCTGACAGAGCTACTAATATCCCTTCTACGACAGTGATAGCTTGCCTTTTTTTTTCTGCCCTAGAACACCTAGTAGAAATTTTTTTTTAATAACTGTGACTCACCATGCCCCAAATTAATCCACATAGTCATTGAAATTAAAGCTGTATTCTTCAGTTATGGATTGTTAATATAAATGTATTCAAACATCTTCAAAATTCACTACAATTAATTGTGATGGAAATGGCAATAAACCATCAATAAACATTAAGTGAAATGAAGATCAGAAATTGGGAAGTACAGGAGAAAGGCTGGAGGCTCCAATACAGAGTGATTGATTAAATCATTTTTTTTTAAATAGTCTGTTGTCAAGTTGGTTTCCATATAACACCCAGTGCTCATCCCCACAAGTGCCCTCCTCCATGCCCATCACCCCCCTTCCACTCCTCCCACCCCATCTGCCCTCAGTTTGTTCTCGGCATTGATCGAATCATTTCTAATAAGTGGATAGTAAAGTACTTTAGAGAATCTTAATTGTTATAAAAATGTATATTCATTTGAATTGCATTATAATATGGATGACTGAAAAGAGCACTGGGATTTTGGTTTTATATGAGTTAATCTTTTACTTCTTTCAGAGTTGTTGAATTTTTAGCCATGTGTCTAATGTATAACAAACTTCTGTTCACAGAGCTGATGATGGCTATGTTAATTATACTTAGTGAATGTCCCGCAGTTTGACAGTAACGTGATTTATCTACACGGCAACAAAAGAACCCTATGTCAACCAATGGTCACACATATCAGAAAAAAAGAAGCTTCCGTCACAGCGGAGGCTAGGAGCTCCCAAATTAGAACTGTATTTTCCAGCTGGAAGCTAGTCATTTAATCAATGGTTACTGTAATCTACTTCCTATCAACCTCAACACAATCCCTGTATTTGAAAAATTTAGTTTCCTGTTGATACAGAATGTATACCAACGACTAAAATACAGTAGAACAAATACTGTAATAAAAAATCTGTAAGATGCTGTGGATTGCAGGATGAAAGCAATAAACTTTCTCCTTGGAGATGGAGAAGGCTTCAGGAAATCAGGAAATCTTCACAGACAAGCATATATTCAACTGAGGTCTTGAAGGGTGAGCAGGAACTTATCATTTTAAGAAGAATGAAGGGCACCCAAACAAGATATATAGTGGTTTGAAAGGTATGAGGAGGGGCGCCTGGGTGGCTTAGTCGGTTGAGCGTCTGACTTTCGCTTAGGTCATGATCTCGCAGTTCGTGGGTTCGAGCCCCGCGTCGGGCTCTGTGCTGACTGCCAGCTCAGAACCTGGAGCCTGTTTCAGTCTGTGACTCCCTCTCTCTCTCTGACCACCCCCCTGCTCATGCTGTCTCTCTCTCTCTCCTAGAAATAAATAAAACATTAAAAAAAAATTCCAAAAAAAAAAAAAGAAAGGTATGAGGAGATGTGAAAGACCATAAGCTATTGAGCCTATTGGGATTAACCAAAGTTACTAGAGGAGAGAGTATTCTTTTAAGGAGGTTCAATTTATAGGAGCTCTATTATGAAGGATCTGGTATTCTATGCTTGAGCACATTATTGCTGCTCAATATTTAGGTTGACTGAAAAAAATAAAAGCGTGCTCAAAAGCAATGGGAATCTATCAAAGTGTTTTAAGCAGGGGAGTGACTTGAATGGACTGCATTTTAAATGAATCAGAGAAGAAAAAGTGTGAAAAGTAGGAGGCTACTGAGAAACCTATCAAGCTCTTGAGACCAGGGAGGAAGTTGTGATCCTAGATAAGTTCGACGGTTTGCTCAAGGCTCAGAGCTGGTTAGTAGCAAAATTGGATATTCTGTCTATACCCAAACACTTTTCTACTATGATTTCTTACCTACAAATTCATTATTCACCACCTAAAATTTGAGATATCTATCAGAGGATTTCCATTGTAATGATGCGGTTGGAAACTGTATACAGATCTAATAACATTTCAGGATTTTTGCATCTCATAGTTGTTTTTTTTTTAGGGAAATCTAATTTGAACATTGGTATATTAACAATGTGACTTGCAAATCAGCAAACCAAAGCAACTTCCAGAGGCTGATAAACTGTTTTTTCTCTAATTTCGCTTATTTTTTTCATAAGGTAGGTAAGAAAGACATAATTAACTAGATGATTATTTCTCAGAAATACTCCTATGTTTACATTTTTCTAGTAGCATTCTTTTCTCCCATGAAACTTTCTAGGGACAATGCCAGTGACTATTTTTCTCATATTCCAACCACTGCTGGTTTACAGCATCCTATTTCCCTCCCCTTATTTTCATTCTCTGTTCTCATCTCTCCTTTCATTTCCTCCCCATGTTACACCAGCTACCATCTGCCAAGAAGATGGATTAGATCATTTATCAAATCAGAAGTTTTTCCTTTGTCATTCAATTCATTTTACTATTATATTGAAACTAAAAAGCAGTATGGTTTTATCTCAAAAAAAAAAAAAAGCAGGACTTGTATTTTATCATTGGAAGTTTTGAGTAATAATAGGAAGGAGGTCTTGACTTATTATAAATGCAGAGGAAGGGCACCCGGGCAGCTCAGTCGGTTAAGCGTCTGACTCTTGACTTTGGCTCAGCTCATGATCTCACGGTTTGTGAGATCGAGTCCCACTTGGTGCTCTGCTCTTATAGCACAGAACCTGCTTGGGATTCTCTCTCTCCCTCTCTCTCTACTCCTTTCCCGTTCATCCTCTCTCTCTCTCTCAAAATAAAAAAATAAACTTAAAAAGATGTATATAAACAAGGGACTAATTTTGAATCTCCAACTCCCAATTTTTTCAAACTGTTTATATTTTGGATGATTCATTAAACACTTTCCTCTGTTTTACTGATAATTAGTCTATATTGCTATACCTCACTTTGTAGACAATTTGGCTGCACATATCTACAGCTGCAGATCCAATGGAACCCATACTGGTGGCAAAAACCATGTGAAGTCTCCTTTAGGAAAGGAGAATCAGACTGGAGTTTCCTACTTTATTTTGATTTCTAAGAATTGGCTGATATAACTGGGGAGAGTGCTCAGGCCTGGGCTATACTAAATCTATAGTAATTCTGAAATACAGAGGATGAAATAAGAAATGGTGAAACTTCTCAGGATCCCTGCAAAATGTACCATAATTCCTTCCAGTCTTTTCCCCATCATTCCTTGCATGGTGCTGGGCCAAATCCAGTCTCTAAAGGACGTTTCCCACATGCAACTACTGGATGCATTTGGGCCCAGTGTAGCTTTCTAAATCTTACTAGGTAACCATAGAGACCCCATCTATGCATCATAGCATCAGTGATCCACAGCTCAGAAAGCATAAAAGAACCAAATAAAAGTTTAAAATATTACAGCTTTCTTGCCAGATATATTTTGCCAACTGGTAACCCTTGAACTCAAAATTCTTATTGACAAAAAAGTAAAAAATCCCATGTTCCCATGTGGTTTATATTTAGTGGACCATCAAAATAGGCATGGGATAGGGAACTCCACTCTTTAAAAAAATGTAAACAAAGTTCAGTCTTAAAAGATTTATAACAGAAATAGTACTAATAAAATTATCCTACAAAATAATTTTTAATGGAGCTGAGTTAATTCAAGCCATGTCTTATGGGGATAAAAATGAAGAGCAATAAACAAAAAAAGGTGGAAGAAAACAAATGTGACCCTGATGACTCTTCTGAAGTCCATAACCTCCACATGAGTTCTTTTCATCCCCTGGTGATATTAATCTTCTGTTTATTTTGCTACTGTAATTCTAAGTAATTCTAAAGTTACAGAGATTGCCCTTTCAAAGTTGGTCTACACCTGTTCTTTCTCACCTCACAAAAAGTAAAGGAAAAAAATGTGTGCGTGTGTGTGTGTGTGTGTGCGCATATGCGTGTGTGTGTGTGTGTGTGTGTACTGTTGGTGGTTAAATATCGAGTTGGGACTTCCTCTTTGAACAGTTGCTTTTTCCTCTCACACAAAGGAGATCTCATTTTGTTTGAGACTGGATATAGTTGAAATCAAACCATACACCAAGAGGGTATGATGGATAAGAAGCCCCCGAAACCAGCTCCTCGCAGGATCTTCCAGGAAAGGTTAAAGATTACCGCTCTACCTTTGTACTTTGAAGGTTTTTTGTTAGTCAAGCGGTCAGAACACCAGGTAAGTTCATAAATGATAACATTGCAACTAGAAGCTTTTCCTTAATATAAAATTTACTTAATGGTGATATGATGTAGAAAGTACTGCCCTGTTTCTGTTGTGATTAAACCCTCTTCCCCGAGCTCAGAAATATGATGCCAATTTTGCATAAATATAAAGACAATGTGTGGCTGAAACACATTCATGTATACATGTATGTATTATATATAATAACATAACATTCTAATGTTAAGTCACTAATGTAAATAAAAATTCAGTAAGCTACATTTCCAAAGAATTTATTTAAACGTCACAGAAGATACCAGCTTAGAAGATAAAATGTTTATGATTTTTTTCTATTTACTAATATGCTTCCACAATGACTTGTACCACTTAATACAAAATATTATGATTGAAATTAAACCTTTTGCTCTTACTCTCAGTTGTTTGAAGTTTACAAATAATTGTAAAATTCTTTTTAGTGGTAAACTTTTGTAAAAAAATTATGAAAATGCCAAATTGATACTGTTTAACATTAAATATAGTTGTATATTCTAAAAACATTAAGATAGTGACTTAAAACTACAATACATAAGTTGCAGTGTATGTAATATGTACACTAAGCTATATAAATACATTCATTCTAACAAAATTCATAAGCAGTTCATATTTTTAAAATGTAAAAATGAAAACTTAAAATTAAGTAAGTTAAAATCAGTGCTTTTAAAATACCAGTTATGGATAATTTGAAGTTAATGAGAGAAATAAACATGAAAGTGCCAGTTACTAATGAAAAAAGAAATCATTGAGTTAGGTCAAATTTTATGAAATTTTAAAACTAACAAAGTATGAAAAATTTAAGTGTTTCAAGAAATGTCATAAAAATGTTTAATAATGATAATAAGATATATTTTCTCAAGACTTATTAACAGAAAATTGTGAAAATATCTACAATAGCACATTCAAGGTTTTTGTAAAGATGTGGTAGTTTATATTCTGTTTCAGGTGTTAAACATGTAGTAGTAAATTTGTCAGTTATGTTAGAATATTTTTTGGTTCTTCCTACATGCTTTTATTTTTTTCATTTTTTCAGTTTTGCTTTTTTAAGTTTATTTTTGAGAGAGAGCCCGCAAGAGCATGTGCGAGGGAGGAACAAAGAGAGAGAAAGAGAGAGAATTCCAAGGACACTCCACACTCTCAGAGCCCAATGTGGGCTCTATTCCACCAACTGTGAGCTCGTGACCTGAGCTAAACTCAAGAGTCGACCACTTAACTGCCTGAGCTACCCAGGCGCCCCCCCCCCCATATGCTTTTAAAGAGAATTCTATCTTGTCGCTACAGGTTAGCCACATGATTACTTTTCCAGGAAAGAGGAGTTGGGAAAAAGAAATTTCTAATTTGTAATTTAAATTTGGTTATTCATTAAATGTTTATCAAAGTATTTATAACTGTTTCTGATCATTTTTTTAATATTTAAAGAAGGCATTCCATTGGATTTTTAGAGAGTCAGCAAAACATGTCTTTACCTATTGGTTTTTCCACTTAAATTGCTTGTGATCTTGTGAAGGTTACTCTGTCTCCTGGAGATTTAATTTTCTCAAACTGTAAAATGGAAAAACTATGACTTGCCACATACAGTGCCTTGAATACAACCGGTGCTCAACTAATTTATTCATTCAAGCAACATTTATTGTGTGTCCCCGATGCACCAAGCATCCTACTGAGTTCCAGAGAATATAAATCTAACACAAAGACTCGAACTTTAAGAGCTTAGTCTGTGGTAAGAAGTGATGACTCTCTTACCTGACTGTTACTCTACCTTTTCCTAGAAAGCATACTTTGAAATGAAAAGAATAAACTATAGTACAAATATTTCTGATGAAATTAACTTGTGTTTCCACTCGAATTCATAGCAACATACCTTTCACTTGTATGTCAAGAAGAGAGGAAGAGGACGACAATAATGTCTACTTATAGGGTGGTTTCAAGGATGAAAGATAACATATAAAATACCTGGCTTACATTAAAGGTTAGACTCATTCTCCTTTTCATTTCATTATTTATTATATTCTTATTAACATACTAAACTCAGTTTTGAATCCATAGGTACAGTTGACCCTTAAACTACATGGGTTTGAACAGTGCGGGTCCACTTACACTCTGATTTTTTGATAAATACAGTACAGTGCTGTATATGTATCTTTTTTCCAAAAGATTTTCCAAATAACATTCTTGCTCTAGCTTACTTTATTGTAAGGATACAGTATGTAATACAGATAGCTTACAAAATATGTGTTAATCGACTGTTTGTGTTACTGGCAAGGCTTCTGGTCAGCAGTGGGCTATTAGTAGTTCAATTTTTCTGGAGTCAAAAGTAATACGTGAATTTTTGACTGCACAGGAGGGTCAGAGCCCTAACCCCCTATGTTGTTGGAGGGTCAACTGGTAATATGGCTCAAAGGAGAGCCACAGGGCTAGAGCACCAGTGAAAATAGAATCTGTAAAAAATCGAAGGAAAGTAGTGGGAGTTCTAGACAAGCAGGAGCGAAGTACCAGGGATCCTTTAAAAGTGAAGGTGAGCCAGGGGTATATAGAAGGTTATTTTTAAAGGAAAATGGGCTAGAGGAAGTTGGGATACTCTGCAGAACATTAAGTGGGGTCTTTGTTGAAGGAATTAAGAACATTTAAGCTAGAGAATATATAACTGAGGAGTAACCCGATCTGTAAGGAGATCACACATTTAGAGGCACTTCCCAGCTATTTTTGTGTCAGGAGCACTTTTAGGAATTTAAGGAATTGTGCCCCTAGGAAAAGATCTGAACATATACCATTTTAAATGCAATTTTAGAAAGTCCATGGATCCCAGATCAAGAGCCCATTAAAAATATGTAATCTTCATGGAAAAGATAATGTGGAAAGACTTAAACCACAGCATAAGTGTTTTGGATTGATCAGGAAGATTTATTTGATAATAAGTGCTATTAAATGCCATAACACGATGCCAATGAAAACACAGTTTTTTTGCAAATGGGGAAAATTTTCATTTTTCTGGAACTGTTTGAAAATAAGACAGAGGGGCACCTGGGTGGCTCAGTTAAGCATCCAGCTTTGGCTCAGGTCATGATCTCGTGGTTCCCGAGTTCTAGCCCTGCATCAGGCTCTGTGCTAACAGCCCAGAGTCTGGAGCCTGCCTCAGATTCTGTGTCTCCTTCTCTGCCCCCTCCCTGCTTGTGTTCTGTCTCTGTCTCTCTCTCTCTCTCAAAAATAAATAAGCATTAAAAACTTTTTAATGAAAGAAAAGAAGATAGAGCTTGGGCAACATTTCAGTTTCTTCAATTTGTGATATGCTAAAATTAAAAACAATATGTATAATATGTCTTCTTATTCACTTGAACATAAGAATGTGGTCATCATAACAGTGTCAAAATAACATTTCTCTGACTAGTCCTCTCATTGCAACTAATTTATTTAGAATTATACTGGTATATTTATAAGAGCTTATCAGAAATTTAATCTAGACTGTGACCCACTGGTCTGTGCATACTGAATATAAGCTTGATCTGTTAGGTTTGTGGCTGTGGTTGGAGTTCACAGGACCTACTGCTATCTGTAATCTTTTTCTTTTTTTTTTTTTTTTTTTGGTTTTTCTGAGAGAGAGAGAGACAGCATGAGCAGGGGAGGATCAGAAAGAGAGAGGGAGATATAGAATCTGAAACAGGCTCTGAGCTGGCTGTCAGCATAGAGCCAGATGCAGGGCTCGAACCCACGAACCGTGAGATCATGACCTGAGCCGAAGTCAGATGCTTAACCGACTGAGCCACCCAGGCGCCCCATGTAATCTTACCTTTCCTCTGGGCTACCTTTACTCTCAACTCACTGCCTTTCTTCTTGCTTCTCCCACCACTTAATTAGCCCTCCTTAATCCTTTCCATGAATCTGTATGGTTTGTTTATCAGTAAAACTCTTTATTTTCCCCTGATTAATTCTACTCAGCTTATATCATTCTCTCATGACTGAACCACCTCTAATTTTTCTTAGAAGCACAGATCGATGTCTGCATGTAACCTACATAAGAAACACAATAAGCTTTGGCTATCAGTGATTTTAGTTTTCCTATCAAAGGGCAGGTTAATCCTCATAAGACTAATGAAGAAGATGAAGAGAGTGGTACACTTTGACTTCAGTGTTTCCTCTTGCTTTCTTTTCCTCCAAGAATCATAGAATCTCCAGTTTGAACTTGATCTTAGATGCCATACTACAGTAAAACCACACACCTCATCATCACATTCTCCAACTAATTTGCCTGCATTCTGATCTCCTTCCCACTCTCCCTCACCCCCATCCTAGTTCCAAATTATAGTGTAGCTTTGACTTGATCCCTTAATGGCAGAGGCTTACCATTAGAACAGTATGTGAAAGCCTTAAAAAGATAGATGATTTTTTAAAAAGCCCCCCCCCAACTGAATTGTTTTATTATTAACCAGAAGTCAAACTTGAGAAAATCCAAGTACTTTTCAACAGAGTGACTAGACACTCTCATAGTTTTGACAGAACTTCTGCCTGATTATGGAGACAGTATATATTGGCAACTTCTCAGGCCAAGTTTCTCAATGCAGTTTTCTATTTCTCTATTGAAGACAATATGAAGGCACCCTTTCATAGTATATGTGAGTGGCAATGGATTTCATTATTCTGGTTCACAAAATATCCTCCCCTTCTCATACATAATCCCATTGAAGGAGATCTATCTTGAAGATTTTTGGATGCCACCGCTGTCACACACACATGCAAATCACCATCCTCAAAAAGTACCATATGGATAATGAAAAATACAAAGTACCTGTTAATAATATGAGTGATGAGGTAATGCTTTTGTTTTGTTTTGTTTTGTTTTAAGTGGCTAACATTTATGGTCCACTTGCTATGTCCCAGGTCCTGTGTGCTTTGCACACAGTATTATTCCATTCAATCTTAAGCAACTCTATAAAGCAAGAGCAGGAGGCTGGTTTCTACCTCTGCCCTTGGTCTCCTAGCAGTACACTCTAACACAGGAGCAACAAAGTCGTTAGCATCGTCATCATCATCATCGTTATAATTCAGTGCTTTTAATATATTCAGAAAGTTGTACAACATCGCCACTATCTAGTTCTAGAACATTTTCATCCTGCTAAAAAGAAGCCCCATTAAAATTTTCCCTGCTCTATACATTTTTATATGCGTTTCTTGGGATTTTTTCTGTCTCCCAATTTTGAAAACAATTAAAAATTAAGACAAAAAAATCCCACAAAGATCAATTAGGTACTTTTATCTGTTGCTGTGTGGCTTAGATTTATGGCCAAAACAATGCTTTACTCCAGATTTAGGTAAGCTTGAGCTACCTTGAGTCACTCACTGACTCAGTTTAAGAGCCACAAGCCTACCCCTCCTGGAGGCCCTTTGCCACATGGCATGACCAGAGAAAAACACCTATTCTCTCCTGATATGCTCAGCAGAGAGAGAATAGAAAGGGGCTGAGTTGAACATGAAGAAAAAGGGGGAAAATAGTTCTACTAAGAACATGAAAAAGATGATTGTTGTAATTCAAAATGAATTTAATCTTGAGCTTCCTGGGAGCCAAGACAAAAACAAGATGGATTATAGAGTTCCCATTTTTGAGAAAAGAAGTACCTCAATTCTGAAGAGGTGAGAAACAGTTTGCTGGTCTAAGAAAGGATAAATGGTATGTTAGTGTTAGAGACACAAAATACCATGTTATATAAAAGTGTCTTTCCGTTTATAAGCATAAGAAAAAAATCATGTAATTCTCTTACTTTAATCCTCAATATAAATCAAGATAATCCAGCATGTCATAAACATTGAGTTTATTAAAAGGAATAATCAACATGTCTATGAAACTGGAATTTTTAAAAACATACTTTTGGAAAAAGCTGGGTATGAAGGTAAGTGTTTACACTTGGAAGGATTTTATTCTCAAAACTCCTTTGTCATTCTTTTGTAATGCAGTCAGTCTTCACAGAATGTAAATTCCCCTTATTTAAATAAACTTTCACTTGAGTGAAATGAGACTAGGTTATTTAAATTTTTTAAACCTAAAATGTTATATTTTTATAAAACCCATAATAATGTCAATGTAGCAATTATGACATGTTTACCACATGAATGGAATTTGGACTTCAAAGGTGAGCTTTGATGTTCAATTATTTTATGATTATGAACTATTCACATTGCCTTTATTTATATAAACATACACTATTTATAGGACCCACACTATAAGCCATGTATTCTGCTAAGTGCTTTACGTGTGTCAATTTACTCAATCCTTTCAATTGTCCTGGAATCTAGCTATTTAATGCTTGTCCTATCTTGACCCCTAAATGGCCTCTCTTACAGGTGCAATCTTCCACTGATAGCTACATAAAAAGTCAAATGTCTTAAATCAGTGGGGAAAGTTTTGAAAAATGATCTATTTAAACACAAATCAAATTCCATCCTTATCTCACACCTTATGCTAAAATAAATTTGTGAAGGATTTAATCAAGAGTTAGATGTAAAGGGGAGCCTGGGTGGCACAGTCAGTTAAGCATCCGACTCTTGGTTTCTGCTCAGGTCACAATCTCATGGTTTGTGAGTCTGAATCCTGTGTTGGGCTCTGTGTTGACAGTGCAGAGCCTGCTTGGAGTTTTCTTTCTCTCCCTCTCTCTCTGCCCCTCTAAGCTCTCTCTCTCTCTCAAAACAAACAAACAAACAAACAAACAAGGAGTTATATGTAAAATTAAGCCAGAAGTTAGGTGACTCATCTCAGGGTCAAGAAGAAGCTTATATCACACAGCAATTAATGAAGTTACAAAGAAAAGAGTTAATAAGAAAATAGTTGAATACATACCAATGAAATAATGCTTTTAATTTCTTTCTCACAGGAGTATAAACATTATTGGACAGAGTTGAGAGGAACTACACTTTTTTTTTATTCTGACAAAAAAAGTCCAACAGTAAGTAGTTAAACATGTTTGACTGGTTCAATTTTTCCCAATATAGAGATATTACATAGTTGTATTCATTTGGTGTTTTCTGTCTCTCAAAAGTAAAGATATTTTAGTAAAACCAATTCAAATAAGAACATCGATATCTCTGGGCACTATTGGATATAAGATCCATGGTAAAGTTTTCAGGGCACCTCAGAAGAAGGCATAAACTCATGCTTTAGTTTTGCATTTTTTTCTTTCTGATCCCAATAGTAGAAACTTAGTTGAAAAGTTAAAATTTCAGCCAGATAACTGGCTACAACTTGTATAATGCCAAAGGATAGCCTTAATTTCCCCAGTTTTTTATCTTGCTGTATCATGCAGTTATTATCTGAGAGAATCTAGATAATCTTCATAACATAAAATATGTCACAATTTAATTTTCCAAGAAAGATGAAAACATAACCCTGACTTCTAAGAGCTTAAGCATGAGAATAACAATAGATTCTGAGACGTATTTATTAGTATTAGTTTCAAGTAATTGATTTATATTTCAATTTTTCCACAAAGATAAAAAACTGTGTATTTCATTTTTTCCACAAATAAAATGTAGCATTTTAGTGTCAAATGCTTGCCTCCTATGGAATACTATGCCTGTAGGAGATTTTATGATCTGTAGCTTGTTTAAATACAAGCATTTTGTACCATGGATCAGTAGCCCATAGTTCTTAGAATATCATTATTACACGTCCAGATCTAAAGAAAAAAACTGAAAAAAGAGCCTTTGTGATATATTTCATCTGCAGGTATTTTAGTGCTATTAGTGGCAAATTAACCAGAAGTCATTTTTAAAAAATGTGTTGAGCACTGGGTGTTACATGCAGGTGATGAATCATTCAATTCTATTCCGGAAACCAATATTATACTATGTGTTAACTAATGAGAATTTAAATAAAAAACTGAAAACAAATGAGAACATGCAAAATCAAACAAAAACAAACTTAAAATGATGACTTTCACCGGTGTTCTGGATAGATTAAGATTCATATAAGGTGTTTTCAAATGCCATAATAAATTTTAATAAAACTAATCCCTCTGTTGTGCCTTCCAACTTTCAATTGATATCAGTAAAACTATGAAAGACCCTGGTCTAAACCTAGTATATAGTACACATATTGGATGAGTGAAGAGTTATTGCTCTCTTACTACATGGCATGAGGCAAGTACAGCCTAGTGGGTACAGCTTAGTGACTGTAGCCTGGTCTTCAGGGTTTTTATACTGTCTCTGCCACTGTGAACTGTGGGTTCTTGGGCATAAGAGGTTCTTGGGTCATCTAACCTCTCTGTCAGTGTATCCGATGGGAATTGGTAGGAAACAGATGACATCTCAAATTGGGCATTTTTTTAAAGATTTTATTTTTAAGTAATCTCTACACCCATCGTGGGCTTGAATTTACATACTCCCCTACCGAGATCAGGAGTTCATGCCCTACTGACTAAGCCAGCCAGGAGCCCCTCAGATTGGGCATTTTTGAAGAGAGTTTAATGAAGATGCTATATTCAAAACAGTGGACAGGTTATAGGAAAACTACAAAGGATAGAACAGAACTCTGAGGCTAGGAACAGTTACCTACCATCATGCCCAGGATTAAAAAAAACAAAAAACAAACAGTGAGCAGAAGTGTATGAAGATGACTTCATTGAGAGGAATAAGATCTTTGACTGAGGAAGTAATTGCATAGGATAATAAATACCTTATTCTCCTTGGGCTTCTGATCTCCTGCCAGTGTTAACCAGGGTCCAACCCAATGGGAAGTCACAAGGTAAGGGGGCCCTTGATGTTGTCCCCACAGGTCTCTCTCCTGTGCACAGCACTGTGTTCCCTGAAATTAGGATAAAAAGAGTCACCCATCACGTGACGTTATCAAAACGATTAAACGAGATAATGAATGTAAGGACTTAATAGAGTAGCTGCCATATAACAAGCATTCAAGCATTTTACATACATTATGTCATCTAATTCTGATAACAACTCTGCTGAGTGGGTATACTATTTTAATTAGCAATTATAGATGAGAGTAGTCAAGTTTAGAGATTCAGAAATTGTTCAAGATCAGACAGTTAATGAAAGGAGAACTGTCCAGGTCTTGCTCCTGAGCCAGCATTCTTAACCATTACGCCATGAATAGACTGTTACAATGAAATACTGCAGAATTGTATGTCTACGCATTTTGTTAAAAGAGGGTGCAGACTTTAGGAAATTTGGGTTGGGGTTGATAGTCTCAGGAAAAAGCACAGAGATAGAACAGGTGGGAAGTGTAGATAATTCAGCTTAAAGCTGCCTTGACATATTTGAAAGGCTGTCAGGAGGTCATGTGAAAAAGTCAATGAATTCATTTCATGTTATTGCAGAGAAAGGGGACGAGGACCATTGGTTGGAAATTACCTGGAGGAATGACTGTACCTTAATACAAGGAAAAGCGTGCTATCAGGCAGAGTGGCATAGAAGCATGAGTTCCATGCTGTTTGAGGTATTCCAACATAGACAGGATGACTACAGGGAGGGATGCTGTGAGGGAGACTGAAGCATCAGATGGCAGCTGGATTAGATAGATGTACTTTAAGGCTCTTTTCAACACTGCAATTAAAAAACTCTTTGTTTTAATCAATAGATTCGTTTATGGCACTCTATCTAATTTAGCAACTTCCTCCTCTGTTGCTTCCTCCTTTGTCTCAGCAAACTTCACTTAGCTTAAATCTAACTAGACAACCCATCAGAAAAAGATTTGTGTGTAATTTTTTTTTAAATGTTTTCTTTATTTCTAGGAGAGAGAGAGAGAGAGAGACAGCATGAGCAGGGGAGGGTCAGAGAGAGAGGGAGTCACAGACTGAAACAGGCTCCAGGCTCTGGGCTGGCAGTTGGCACAGAGCCCGACGCGGGGCTCGAATCCACGAACCGCGAGATCATGACCTAAGCAAAAGTCGGACGCTTAACCAACTAAACCACCCCGGCGCCCCTCGTGTGTAATTTTTAATTCTGCCCTGCTTCCCTTATACCTTTCCATCAATTTTTAATTGCTCTTTGTCCATTGGAAATAAATAGGTCAACCCGAACTTACCCACAACTTCATCATTACAGGAATAGTTCTGGAAAAAAAATTTACATACTTATTTTTCTGCCTTACTTTATTCAGAAAAATAAAAGAAGGACACATGCAAGAACATAGTAAAACAAGTTCTATTGTGCAAAACAGAGGAAAATAAAGAAAAGTCAAGAATAAAGCTAATTCAGAAAAAAAAATATACCATTAAAAACTCCACTATACTTACTGGAGGTAGATCTGATCTTTCCAATACTACAAAGCAGGTCTGGCCAGTTGCATACAGAACAACCCATATATACCAGTTATTCAGAAGAAATATAATTTTACTGGGTTGAGATAGGAATTTTTTAAATGTTTATTTATTTTTGAGAGAGAGACAGAGTGTGAGTGGGGGGGTGAGGCAGAGAGAGAGAGAAAGAGAGAGAGAGAGAAAGAGAGAGAGAGAGAGAGAGAGAGAGAGAATCTGAAGTAGGCTCCAGGCTCTGAGCTGTCAGCACAGAGCCCGACGAGGGGACCAAACTCACTCGAGATCATGACCTGAGCCAAAGTAGGCCACTTAACCGACTGAGCCACCCAGGTGCCCCAAGATAGGAATTTCTTAATAGGATCCTCATAACCAATGATGTGATAAATGTTGAGTAACAGCATTCTTGGAAAAATCATGTGTATGAATATATTCATACAAATTTATTATAAACATTACTCATATAAAGAAGGTGTAGTACACAGTTGAAAAAATAAAATATACTATTGTATTTTATTATAATTTCCCTATAAGTGATTGATTCTCATAGATAATTTTATTGATTTTTCTGAAGTTGGAGCCACAGGCTACTATGATTGCAATTCAATCATAATTTGACAAATGGAGTTGTTTTCCAATTTGCTATTTCCCTAATAAATTTATTGTCATTAAATATGACAATTGATGTGAATGTTGGCTGACATTTTTGCTTATGTTAATGATAAGAGGAAAACAAAGCAATAATTATGCATGTTACAACTTTGTCTCTTTTGGTAATGACATGGGCAAGTTCTTTGCTAAATAACATGATAGTTTCTGAATCATGGAACAATATTTTGTCAATTTTTTTGTTCTGTTCACAATGAAAAAGTTTCAGACACAAGAAACTTCGAAGTTTTATTGGCATTATTAATATTTTATCCTCCATTTTCTTATGTCCAGACCAGAGTCCAGCAAATAGTGGCCCTTGACCCGGATCTAGCCAGTGGCCTTTTTTTGTAAAGTCTAGGAGTTAAGAATATTTTTTACACTTTTAAAGTGTTGTATTAAAACAACGACAATAAGAATTTGCAACAGAGACTCTGTGTGGTTCACAAAGCCTGAGACATTTACTATCTAGCTTTTGCAGAAAAAAATAATTGCTGGCACAATAAATCTAGCCCTAATTTATAAGGTTTGCCAATTTCCACGGTATAAATACTCCCACCATAGCTGATTTCAACCTATCAATGTGACTCTACTGAACTGAAAAGAAAGGTACAGTAATACACCATTAGATAGTATTTCTATCAAACAGAAATGAGGATGTAAATAATCTCAAGACACAGTAAATACTATGTAGTAATATAAGTAGAAAATGCTGAGTTCTGAATTTTAGTTATCTTTGTTTTTAATATAATAAAATATTTATTTTATATAATATAAAATATACATAAAAATAATATATATTATATAAAATAATATAAAATATATATAAAAATAATAATATAATATATAATTATATTATATTATATAATATAAATTCATACAATTTACTTTTAATAACAGCTGTGTTTAGTGACCAGCTTGTAAAAAATCACCTTTTGTAAACCTGTGTGAGCCAAGTCCAGCACACCACCACATAATACATCTCCAAATGCCCTCTGGGTTTGGAAGGATTACAATTGCCAGTTGAAAACCAGGATTTTATGCAAGGTCCAAATCAGTTGAAAGGAAGAGATTATTTATATTTCACCGTGCCAGAACTAATGTATGTTACCCGAGTATATGTTAACTAATGTATGTTAACTTATGTATTGTTACATGAGACAATTTAATGAGATTTCCTTTATCTTTGCAGTATGTTGACAAGTTAGACCTAATAGACCTCACATGCCTTACTGACCAGAATTCAACTGAAAAGAATTGTGCAAAATTCACCCTTGTTTTACCAAAAGAGGAAGTGCAACTGAAGGTGAGTGAGGAGACGCAATTAGTTGGAAACAAGTTGTTGTTAGAAATAGCATTCGCCTCTTCACAACCCAGTGAGCTGAGGTAACAAGGAGTTGTCAGGGGACCTGCCAAGTCTCATTCTTTGTTCATGTTTCTTGCCTCTTGCCAAAAACGGCAGTTTTCTAAATAGGGATTTGAAAGGGCACATCTACTTGTTTAGTACACAAGCACGTTGAAACCATACACTTCTGTCCTCTGACAAAGTCAGAGGTCCCACCTGGTGTTTTTAAAAAGTTGTTCTTGAGTTGATATTCACCAAGTTCCCAGATGAATCTGAGACAAGTCCAACATGATACACGTTTGGAACCACTGAATTAGACAAACCCGTATTTCACAAATCGAGAGATATTTTGCAAGGCATTTGGCCTATAGTCTTCAAAAATACCACTGTGAGAAAAGCCAAAGGAAGACCAGATACATGTTTCCAATTATGGAAACTTTGGCATATGACAACTAAATGCAGTGTGAGATCCGGAATTGGATTCTGGTTTAGAAAAGGACAACAAAAAACTATAAAGAACATTACTGTTACAATTCGAAAAATTCAAAAAAGAACAGTGTATTCGATAATACATAGTTTGTAAAAGATGGTATTAATGTCATAAAACTCTAAGCCCCACACGAGCAGAGATCTGTTGTTAAATTCATCACTATACAGTAGCACTTGTACGGTAAAAAAAAAAAAGGTTTTCTTGAATTGACATTCAAAGTGAGCCAATTAAAGTCAGCCAACAATTATAGTGTTAAATGTAAAGAGAACACCTTGCAATTGAATAAGAAGTTGTTGGAGTTGGCCTTGCAAGCACTGTAGTAGTTAGTTCCCCCTCACCCCCCACCTCCTCACGGCCCTTAAAGTGGTTACAGTTACCTGTGGTCAACTTCAGCCTGGAAGCAGATGATCCTCCTTCTGACCTTATCAAAAGATCAGTAGTGGCCTAACACTCCACCACAAGGCCTATGTCATTCCCCTCCCTTCCTCTCATCACGTAGGCATTTTATCATCTCATATCATCGAGGGCAGAAGAGTGAGTACAGCACAATAAGATATTTTGAAAGACCACATTAGATAACTTTTATTGCAGAATATTGTGTAATTCTTATTCCCTTCTTGTTAATCTCTGTGTCACATACATAATTTAAATGTTATCACAGGCATGTATGTATAGGAAAAACATAGTATATGTATGGTTCAGTACTATCTTTGATATCAGGCATCCACTGGGGGTCTTGAAATGTATCCCCATATATAAGGGGGAATACTATAGTAGGAATCTCTTGTACTTAGGAATTCTAGGCCCTACCCCTAACCCTGGGCTCCAGATTCTTCGTTTTAAGCTAACTTCCCAGGTGATTCTGATATGTAGTTAAAGAACACAAGATTGGAGTCAAAGCCTCCAATTCATTTGGGTTGAATTGTGGCTGTTTTATTCATTGGCTGTGTAATTGTAGGCAAGTTACTTAACCCCTTTGTGCCTTGGTTTCTCCATCCAAAAGTAAGCCTTTACTCAGATGTATCCCTCTTACTGCCACCTACCTAGACCATTTTATTAAAATTGCAGCCCTTTTCCTCTCCCCTAGCTCCTGCTGACATTCTCAATGTCTTGTAAAATGCTCTACATTTTATTCTCCCATTTATTTCCTTCTGACACTATAATATTTACTCACTATTAGACTTATATTACTCCATACTAAATCCAAAATCCCACCAGAACAAGGATTTGTATTTTGCTTTCTGATATTAACCAGTACCTAGAATAGTGCCTAGCACTTAAGATACTCAAAAAATATGTTAAATGAGCAAATCTATAAAATAAAATATTTAAAAAGTAACTTTTGCAGAATTGCCATGAAGATGAAATCATTTAACGTGTGAAGTACTTAGAACAGTAGCTGCCCCTTATAAATACTTAATAAATATTGGCTATAGAGTAGGATTTAGAGCTAAGAACTGGAAATTTTTAAGCACTAACAACACTGGTCTTACCTGGTTGCAAATGTAAGCTAGAAGTGTTAAATCAATGGAGTGGATCAACCATTAACTCACCTATTGCAGAAATAAGTAAATAATGTTTACTTTTTTTTTTAAGTTAAGTAAATTTGTATACTTTTACCTGTTTGGTAAGCAGATCAATTGAAACTATATACTTCTGACAAAAGAAAATAGCTTTGAAATTTCATAACACATACATATTGTTTTAAGCAAAAAGGGAAATGAATTGTTTCTTCCTTTCAAATAATGTAAAGTGCTTTAAAAAATTACAACTGACTTTTTAAAACAGTGTGCTTCAATAGAAATATATGCATTTTGTCAACCTTGCTGGGTTTTGAAGGCTTACAGACTTGGAGTCTTATGAAACAATCATATGAAATTCTAAAATTGCTTGAAGTTAATAAAGGTATTAATGCTCACTCACACTTACGTCTTTTCTTCTTTATCTGTTTTCATCTTTAGACAGAAAACACAGAAAGTGGGGAAGAGTGGAGAGGCTTCATTCTTACAGTAACAGAGGTAGGAAGGACATTACTTTTGATTGATTCATTAATTCAACATATATTTACTGGACACTGACTATGAACCATACAGAGTGAAAAGGTAAAGTGAAGACACAAGGATTGAAAGGGACAGATATATGGGGTGCCTGGGTGGCTCAGTTGGTTGGGCGCCAGACTTTGGCTCAGGTCATGATCTCACGGTTCGTGGGTTCGAGCCCCAAGTTCGGCTCTGTGCTGACAGCTCAGAGCCAGGAACCTGCTTCAGATTCTGTGTCTCCCTCTCTCTCTCTGTCCCTTCCCCACTTGGACTCTCTCTCTCAAAAATGAATAAATGTTAAAAAAATTAAAAAAAAAAAAGAAAGGGACAGATATGTACCCATACACTTACTCATGAAATTTGTATTTGTATCAGGTGGATGGAAAGGAAGAAAGGCAATAAGGAAGGTAATTTAAAATTGTGATAATTGTTATGAAGAAAATAAACAAAGCTATGTGCTAGCTAGTGAGTAACAGGTGGTCATGGAGATCTATTGTTTGGTCTTATCTTTTGACACAGTGGTCCTTTGTATATGCTGATATTTACAGTTTATATAGCATCTTCTAAAATACTTTCCAATTCCTTTTCTTATTCATTTAATACATATTTATAAAATGCTGAGATGGATTTTATGAATAACATAAACAATATAACAAAAAGATCATCAAAATGAATATTCATCTTTAAACATTTGTTTAGTTAGTAAGACAGAAGGATGCTTACCTGTTCAACTCCGTGGCAACTTCTCAGAGACAAATACTAAGATCTACTGCTATTCTTAACAGTTGCAGTAGGATATCTACCATTATTTTAAATGAAGCTACTGCATGCAGCAACTGTCTTATAAACATTAAGTACTTTAAGAGCCAGCCCCCAAAGGAGCACCATGTTCTCTGATACTTTGAGAGAAGAAGTCAGTTAAGTACAGACTCTCTCCAAAGCGAGTTCCTAAGTAAAGGCTTTGCAGTCTCATGAAATACGTACTGCACTTTACTGAAATGATGGATGCTGGGTTTTTAAAGTTTATTTATTTTGAGAGACAGTGCGAGCAGGGGAGGGGCACGGGGGGGGGGGGGAATTCCAAGCAGGCTCTGTGCTGTAACTGCAGTGCACCAAATGGGGCTCAATCTCATGAACCATGAGATCATGACCTGAGCCAAAATCAGGGGTCAGATGCTTAACCGACTGAGCCACCCCGGTGCCCTGATGCTGTCTTTTTATATCAGCCAATAACAGGTGAAAGTTGGAGGTTCAACTACCATGTAGGGAAGTCTTAGGAGGCTAGAAAAGTGGGTGAGTTAAAGATGTCGAAGACATTTTGACTTGTGTGGAGGAGGAAACTCAATGGGAAAGGGCATCAATGTTGTGGAAAAGTATCTTTGTATGGCACAACACTTCTACGTTGGGATACAAGTATTGCAAGCGTATGTGAGTAGATACCAAGGAGAACACAAAAACCACTGGAAAGCCTTGGGATGCATCTACCCCAAGGGTTTTGTTTCAACAACAAAAAATAGTGTTTTTAGGTTTTTTTCCTTAAGGATAAAAAACATTATTTTAATTAAAATGTACATAATTATGTTACAGAATGCAAAATAAAATTCATGTGAATTCCCAAGAGAACAGTTGTCTTAAATTTTGTGCTGTTATACATGTTTTTGACTAAGTTCCCTGGACATTCTGTGTACATACACAACATGCTGTTGTAAGGAGAGCTTTACCACAAGTTTGAGAAACATAGACTTCAGTTGAAAGAGCAGGAAAAAAAAGGAAAGAAAAGAAAAGAAAAAAGAAACTTTGCCTTTGAATTAAATAAACTGGAGTTTGAGTCACAATTTTCTAGCTATGTGACCCTGAACTAATTATTAATCTTTCTGAACCTTTGTTTTCCCCTATTTGTAGAGGAGGGATAACATACCTATCTTATTGTATTGCTGGGAGTATTTGCAATAGCACAGTGCTTGGGACATAATAGGCAAGCAGCTTTCTCATTAGTTTCTCCTCATCCTATTATTTTATTTTCTGGATTGGTATATAAGGAAATAACTGTACTGATTATTAGTTAGCTTAGCTTAGTTATCCAGAAAGCAGTCTCTAAATGTTTTTTTGTGAACCCTTATTCTGTTTTCATTTCAAATTTCACACACACACACACACACACACACACATGCACATATATAAGATATAAACAATAGGAATCAATAAGAACAGGTAAATAAGGTGATGTAAATCATGGGTATGACTATCAGGAGGGTATAGGTTACTAAATCCAAAATACATATCCAGAGAAGGTTAAAAGAAACTAAGGAGAGCAGTATCATTATCCGAATGTGTGAATGAAGATTTGAAATACACACACAGATAGACCAAAATCTAGACCTCTGGCTACAGATGCTTGGTCATCTAATGAATAGTCCATCTCAACCCGGTGTTGCCACAGCTAATTCCAGGTTAGCTGTCGGGGAGCGGAGCGCCTCACTGGTACTCTGGGACTTAACTGGCAGTGAGAACTAGTGAGCTCAGAATGAAAAATGAGAAGTATGGCATTACTAGAATTAGCTTGTAGTGCAAGGTGGGTAGACTTTGCTGTATGCCTGGCCAGAAGGAACAGTTCTAGGAAGATCGGGTGCATTGTGCAAGTTAAAGCTGTTTGGTTGAAGGCAGTTTTTTTTTTAAATTTTTTAAAATGTTTCATTTATTTCTGAGAGAGAGACAGCATGAGCAGAGGAGGGTCAGAGAGAGAGAGAGGGAGACACAGAATCAGAAGCAGGCTCCAGGCTCTGAGCTAGCTGTCAGCACAGAGCTGGATGCAGGGCTCGAACCCACGAACCGCGAGATTATGACCTGAGCTGAAGCCGGATGCTTAACGGACTGAGCCACCCAGGCGCCCCTGAAAGCAGTTTTTATAAAAATATTTTTAATGTCTACTTATTTTTAAGAGACAGAGCACGAACGGGGGAGGGACAGAGAGAGAAGGTGACAGAATCCGAAGCAGGCTCCGGGCTCTGAGCTGTCAACACAGAATCTGACGTGGGGCTTGAACTCACAAACTGCAAGATCATGACCTAAGCTGAAGTTGAACGCCTAACTGAGTGAGCCACCCAGGTGCACCTTGAAGGCAGTTTTAAGACAGCAAGATCCTATATTTACGATCCTATCCATCCGTGTCAGATAACTGAAGCTCCTTAGGACCACACAGGTCTTCTCTTTGCTGAAATCACTTAGTTACTCTGCTGTCTTTCTTGTTTGCCTACTGCCTTAATTGGCTTCAGCTGTCAGTTCCCCTACACGTGTCACTCCTTCCTGGGCAAGTAATTCGACTGCATGAAGTCCTAGAGAGAGAGAAAAAAAGGAGGATTGAGACAGAGCGGATACCGAGTTCAGCTATAGAAAAGGAGCAGGAACCTATTGAAGATTATGTGGATGTACTGAACCCTATGCCAGTGTAAGTGTACCACACTTTATTAGATTGTTAATATTAATTTCTAATTATCAAGGAGAGTGAGCCATTGATCTCATTAAACCAAGGGACAGTAAACCGTCTTGTGGATGAACCTTAGATCTCAGAGTAGATGCCACATTTCCTCTTCTATGTCATGATCAACAAAATTCAAAATGCAGGTTTTACCACACAGGAAATACCCTTCCACCCACACCTTTAGACCAAATAGATATTCTTTCCAAAGCTCAAACCTGAATAAAGACTGCTATGCAGAAGGAAGGAAAAGATATTTTTTTTCACCATGCAGCTCCATGGTTTACTGATTTTCTATCAGAAAATTAGACCAAAGAGTTTTAAGTATCTGAATGTTGTATTCAGTTGTCTAATCAGTGAGCAGTGACTGAGCTTGTACTTTGAGGAAAGCCTCAAAGTTGTGAACACTGTTGTGAACAAACAGTGCAGAAGGTGTTCTTGGGGGAACGAAGAAGCTCAGACAGGCTGAATCCAGCACCATCCTTATTTTTCACTCATATTGCTGAAAAGTGTGGCTAAGATTGGGGCCCCTGCCTCCTGGCATCGTGGTCTTCCTGTCAGGGAATCTTGTGCTGGTACCACCTGTGATATCAGTTTCTGCTGCATGTAGTCTAGCTGTACTCTAATTGCTGAAACCTGCCTATCATCACTCTTGGCTGAAACCAGTGACATTTGATGGGCTGATAGGTTAAAAGTCACACAGATTGCCTCTTTTATTTTTTTCCTCAGTAAAACAAGCAATATGTATGTATTACAAATAGATAAAAAGAGCATTAAAATCATTCTTTGTCCCACCATGCAGAGATATTCACTGTTAACATTTTGGAGAATTGCATACCCTGTCATATTTTTCTCTGTTGAAAGAGCCCAGACTTTTCATTGGCTGCAATATTTATTATAAAAATGAGAAGTGCTTTCTTAAAATTTTTATGCATTAAAATAGCGCCAATGCCATTGGAAAGCCATAGTACACTAAAAGGAGTGATTTCAGATATACCCTTAAATATCAGTTATTTAAAACAGAGACCATACAAGAGAAGCATCTATAGAAATGTTTTGTATCCCTGAAGAGAAACCACCAATCAATATTTTTTATCCAAGAGCTTATTATGAACTGAGATTATGAACTGGGGATATACTATTAATACTTTCTTATCTTATATTTATTACTTACCTTATATCTAATATTAGATATAAGTATAATATATTATACTTATACTTATACTTATATCTAATATTAATACTTTCTTATATTTTCAAATGGTAACAGGGATTACATACTAACCAGTAGATAACTTTTCAGATCCTCTTTGGTTAAAGAAAGAGGCTTGGAAGGATAAGGGAAGAAAGGCCTTAATTAAGCATAAGTGTACTTAATAGTGGCCCAGGTTTGTAATAACAGTAATTATAATTATATCATTATAATTGTAGTAATAAAGCTAAGAATAATAAGTTAAGAAAAAGTAATAACTTCAGCTCTTACAGTTATTTTGGTAGCACCTTTTTCAAGTAATGATCTTCATCAGTTAAAAACAAAAATACTGTTTTTTATCTTACCTTTGTAGATGTTTTTATACGGTGTCCCGGAAAGAAGCAACTGAGATGCTTGAGAAGAACCCTTCTTTGGGAAATATGATCCTGAGGCCCGGTAGTGACAGCAAAAACTATTCCATCACTATCCGGCAGGAGATAGAGTATGTTTAATTTTAAAAAGTATGGAAATGTTCAAAGCAAAGTCATGCAAGAACAGCAGCTCCTGTGTGTTTTGCTGGGGCTAAAAATATAAACATAAGAATAGGGAGAGAATATTATAGAAAGAATACTAAAGACTGAGCCAAGGCTACTATTTACTGTAGGGAAGAAGAAGAATGGACAAATTACTTTGGTTTTTTTTTTTTTTTTAATGTTTTATTTATTTCTGAGAGAGAAACACAGCGTGAGCAGGGGAGGGTCAGAGAGAGAGGGAGACATAGAATCTGAAGCAGGTTCCGGGCTCTGAGCTAGCTGTCAGCACAGAGCCTGACATGGAGCTTGAACCCATGAACTGTGAGATCATGACCTGAGCTGAAGCCGGATGCTTAACTGACTGAGCCACCCAGACGCCCCTGGACAAATTACTTTGATCTTGAGTATAGTTCTGTTGTTCATTCATTTCAACAAATATTTATTGAACAACTACTAGGTGGCCAAGTAATATGTTAGGTACTGAGGAAGGAGTAGTGAACAAAACATCATCCCTGGTTTAAGGAGTTTACATTCTTGTAAGGAAACATGGACTCTAAATCAATAACTAAAATGTCATATATGGTAATAAGGTCTGTAGAAGTAAAATAAAAGATGAGGGAGAGAGGAACTGTCAGAGATGATATATAGAGAAACATTTTCTGATTGCTATTGTTGTTTTAATACAGAGTGACTAGAGAAGGCCTACTTTATTAACTAACATTTAATTAAGCAGGGACCTGAAGAGAGTAAGGGAACAAACCTTGCCCAGATCTGGGACAAGAACGTTCCAGGTAGCAAGTACATATGCCCAGAGGCAGAAGGCTGGGTTTGTTCAAAAACAAAAAGAGGCTTCTGCCAACAAGGAAACGGAGGTAGATGAGATTCCCAAAGTGAGGGTAGGGACTGATCACTCTAAACCTATATTCTCTGAATGATATGAGAGGCCGCTGGACTGTGATGAATGAAGAAGTGACATAATCTGACATCTATAAAAAGCCCCACTTGGGAATCTTTTGGTGAGGTGAATAATTTCCTTCTGGCAAAAATGGTTTACCTTTCATGAAGTCCATAACACATGCAGAAGTTGATTTTTCCATGTAGCTAATGTGGTTGGATCTTGTAAGGTCCACTCCAGCTCTCAGGGTCGGTGAAATCTCACATTTCAATAAGTACTCTAGGTTAGTTAACACTTTAACAAATGACAGTGTAATTAAATACAGGCTTTTATCCTAAATGAAAATGCTCAATAAGTCATTATCTTTCATATAAAAATATAAACAGAACTTTGATTCTTGAATTTACTGTTCTTTCTGTGAATAATATTCCATTCATTGTTTTCGCTGTGACATCCACCAGCCCACTCTAAATATTAATAATTCTAAATGTATTAAATATGAAGACACTGACAGTGAATAAAGGCAGTAAAAAGAAAATAATTACAGTGTGTCATGGCCCAATAAACTTCATCACTTGCCAATTACTCCATATAAACAGAGACTTGTCTTCATACACCAGCCGTGTGCACTGAATAGATGGCAAGAATGTTAGATGGCAGATCAGATTCTGGTTCTGTGTGTGAAGAGACTCTGTGTGTGTGTCATCTTCCACAATGAATATCTATGTCAACTTAACGCTCTTGTGCTTTCATTATTTTTTAGTATAAAGCCTGACATTTGGGGTTGATGCATTTTCGACTAATATGGTCGAATATCATAGATTACTCCATTTTAATTTATTTGATTTATAATTCAGTTGGCTTTTTTGAAACAAATCTGGAAGAAATAAAAATTGTGACTGCCATTAAATATAGGGAGACTTAGAAACACCCCTGGGAGAAAAGTGAATGTTTCTGTTGAGTAAGTCCTAGTCAAGGAGCTTGTCCTTTTTCAGGGTTCAGGCAATTGAATACAGAATGCCTTTAACTGTTTACTTTCACTTTAAAAATTAAGAGCATATAAAACTGAATTAAAATCAATTTCTCAGATTTTTTAAAAAAGAAATTTAATCTAACTGCTTGAAAGCTAAATTAGGTAAGAAATTAGCTTTTCTTCCTTCATATTATTCTTAGTTGGATTGGATGTTTGCTCCACCAGCATGTGAACCCTGCGTTATTATTCTGTATGAAATGAACAATGTCCGGAGACCTGATGACTCTAAAGACTGTATGTTTCCTGCACAATAGCAGCCTGATCTCTTTCAGGTGGTCTAGACTAGCCCAACTTTTGCATTGCATTTTCCATACAAGTGAGCTATCAGAAACAACAGTGCTTTCTTTTTTTTTCTTTTAAAGTTTATTTTTTAAAGGTTTTTAAATTTTTTGTTTTAACTGTCTGTCTATTTTTTAATCTGTCAAATTAGCTAAAATGCAGTATATACAGTGTGCTCTTGGCTTCAGGAGTAGATTCCCATGATTCATCGCTTACATAAAACACCCAGTGCTCATCTCAGCTAGTGCCCTCTTCAGTGCCCCTCACACATTTCCCTGGCTCTCCCTGCTTCCCCCCACAAACTCCCTTCCACCCTCAGTTTATTCTCTGTATTTAAAAGTCTCATATAGTTTGCCTCCCTCTCTGTTTGTAACTACATATATTTTTTTTCTTTACCTTCCCTCACAGTCTTCTGTTAAGTTTCTCAACTTCCCCATATGACTGAAAACTTGATATCTGTCTTTCTATGACTAGCTTATTTCATTTAGCATAACACCCTCCAGTTCCATCCACACTGTTGCAAATGGCAAGATTTCATTCTTTTTCATTGCCGAGTAGTAATCCATTGTATGTATGTATGTATGTATGTATGTATGTATGTACAACATCTTCTTTATCCATTCATCTATCAATGGACATTTGGGCTCTTTACATAATCTGGCTATTGTTGAAAGTGCTGTTTTAAACATTGGGGTACATGTGCCCCTATGAATCAGCACTCCTGTATCCTTTGGATAAATTCCTAGTAGTGCTATTGCTGGGTGGTAGGGTAATTCAATCTTTAATTTTTTTGAGGAACCTCCATACTGTTTTCCAGAGTGGCTGAACCAGTTTGCATTTCCACCAACAATGCAAGAGGGTCCCCCTTTCTCCACATCGTCACCCACATCTCTTGTTTCCTGAGCTGTTAAATTTAGCCACTCTGACCAGGATGAGGTGGTATCTCAGTGTAGTTCTGATTTGTATTTCCCTGATGATGAGCGATGTTGAGCATCTTTTCATGTGTCTGTTAGCCATTTGGAGGTCTTCTTTGGAAAAGTGTCTATTTATGTCTTCTGCCCATTTCTTCATTGGATTATTTGTTTTTTGGATGTTGAGTTTTTGATAAGTTCTTTATAGAACTTTTTTGGATACTAACCCTTTATTCAATATGTCATTTGCAAATATCTATTCCCATTCCATCGGTTGCCTTTTAGTTTTGTTGATTGTTTCCTTTGCTGTGCAGAAGGTTTTTATCTTGATGAGGTTCAATAGTTCATTTTTGCTTTCATTTCCCTTACCTCTGGAGACATTCAAGTAAGAAGTTGCTGTGGCCAAGGTTTAAGAAGTTGTTGCCTGTTTTTTTCTTCTAGGATTTTGATGGCTTCCTGTCTCACATTTAGTCTTTCATCCATTTTGAGTTTATTTTTGTGTATGGTGTAAGAAAGTGGTCCAGATTAATTCTCCTGGATGTTGCCGTCCAGGTCTCCCAGCACCTTTTGTTAAAGAGACTTTTTTCCGTTGGATGCTCTTTACTGCTTTGTCGAAGATCAGTTGTCCATACACTTGTGGGTCCAATTCTGGGTTCTCTATTCTACTCCATTAGTCTATGTGTCTGCTTTTGTAAAGCTTTTTAAAACTTTTTATGTATTTGTTCGTTTGTTTGTTTAGAGAGAGAGAATGAGTGGAGGAGGGGTAGAAAGAAAGGGAGAGAGAATCCCAAACAGGCTCTGAGCTATCAGTGCAGAGCCTGACACAGGGCTTGAACCCACGAACAATCGGATCATGACCTGAGCTGAAATCAAGATTCAGGCTACCCAGTCACCCCTAAATTTTATTTACTTATTTTAAGAGAGACAGAGAGAGCACAAGCAGGGGAGGGGGAGAGAGAGAGAGAGAAGAGGGAGAATCCCAACCAGGCTTTGAGGTCAGGGCAGAGAGCCCACCACAGGGCTCAACTCCACAAACTGTGAGATCGTGACCTAGCTGAAATCAAGACTTGGACACTCAACTCACTGAGCCACCCAGGCCTCCCAAGAAATAATAGTGTTTTCTGCTGTAGGTGTGGTTTGTGATCAAATGCAAAGAGTTTCTATTCTTAGGATATGAATTTAACGCCAGGTTTTTTTTACTTATATTTGTTTCTATTTAAGCTATATTTAAACTTCTAAGTGCCTGGCAAAGGTGTTCATATCAAACTTCCATAATTCTAATTTTAGTAAACTTACTTCCAGTTTGAATTCATGTAGAAATTCATGCCTTTGTACAGCTGATGGTCCTAAAAATGTAACATTTCATCCTCCCCCCAAAAGTTCATATTTTTAAAGCAGAGTGAGGGGGGAATGGTCAAAGTAGAGCATTCTAACACTAGAATCACTATATGTTCACTTAGGCTCAGGGGAATAGTTTATGGTTAGAAATGGATAAGAAAAATTTGAACTGTTGTTGCATCAATTTTTCATATGAAGCAGATATATCTATGATGTTAGGGATTGTTCTGTGCATTGTCTAATGCCTTAAAATAGGGCCTTTAGAGTGCCTGATTGCTATCTTCTGTTTAACACTTGTACAGAGTAGTAGAATGTTAGTTAGCTTATGAGACTGCAGAGCTTAATGTAAAGATTTAATGTAAAGCTTAATGCAAAAATTTAAATGATTAGAAAGCACATGAATACCAATTCATGGTTTTATAGGTCATAGGAGAAATGTGCAGGTATGCAAGTTTAAGTAAGGACGTCTGGCAAATACTAGCTGAAAAGGACAGGCTAGTTTACAAAGCAGTACTTGAAAGTAAAATTATGTCCATCTGGTAACAAACCAGTTGTGGGAGGGAAGACTGTAGTTCTCAGAAGTAAAGGTCATTCAGTGTCAAAGTATCAGGTAGTCAACTCCTCTCTTGATACAAAATACCATCCACCTTTACCCAGCCCAGTGGTGTGTGAATTCATAAGACAGAGCTGTTCTTACAACAAACTTAGTGGCTTGGCTTTGTTTTCTTAACATTGTTATGACTAAACGGCAAGCTAGTAGTATATACACTTTGGGGAGCCATTAGCCAAGGAAACAGAAAATATTGACCCCAAATTAGTTCTTCTGCAAAAACTGGGGTCAGAAGCTAAAAACAAATACTTATACCACATTTAAGGCCACAAACTTGTTAAAAGACAGGTTCCTTCTTTTTTGAGGTCATCATCAGGAAACCTCAATATAGCACATTTTGTCAATCTTGTTTTTTCCTCTCTTGATTTTTTTTTGAGAAACAAAATAAAACATGAAAGAAAAACAAAAGTCTAAAAGGAGATTCAAACCCTAAGTGACTTCAGTGGAACTTTTTTTCTACCTTTCTGCTTCAGAACTTAGTCCTTTTAGTCAAAAGTTCCAAGAGACCCTGTTGATCTTTGCTGCCTTTCCTGCCAAAGCTTTGTCATGAATGATGATGATGATGATGATATAATAGCCATTATTAACAACAGTAGTTGTTGTCACCACTTACACTGTACAGTCTGTGGGTGCCGTGTTGGGTGCTTGACAAGCATTTCTTTCAGGCACAGTAAACACTGAGTTAGTTTTTTTCCCCATGTTTTACAAATGAAGCCGTTGAAACTTGCAGAAACATCTAAGGTAAAATGATAAATTTAAAAAGTAGCAAAAATAGTCATGATTTACTATGTATCTAAATGTGCCAGACATTGTACTAAGGACTTCTCAGACACTAACTCACAAGAGCCCTGTGAGGAATAGCATTCCTGTCTCCATTTTATAGATGAAGAAATGAAGGCTGAGCACTTACACGATAGAATCAGAATGTGAACCTAAAACTTTCTGGTTATATAAAGATCATGCCCTTCAAGCTTTCTATCAGTCTTCCAAGGAATAAAAATCACTTATTTTTAGGAATATAGGAATTCTAACTGGAATGGGTGAGACTTTTCAAAAGTAATAATACGATCATAAAGGCCTCTTCATGGAGGGACAAACATAAAGCTAGAGTCAACCACCCTGAAAGAAGGCACTTGTAAGACCTTGTCCAAAAATGTTTCCTTCACCAGTCTGTTACTGATTCCTGAAAGTTCAGTAATAAAGAACACTTAAATTTTTTTTTTAACATTTTTATTTATTTTTGAAACAGAGAGAGACAGAGCATGAGTTGGGGAGAGGCAAAGAGAGAGGGAGACACAGAATCTGAAGCAGGCTTCAGGCTCCGAGTTGTCAGCACAGAGCCTGATGTGGGGCTCAAACCCACAAACCATGAGATCATGACCTGAGCCGAAGTCAGATGCTCAACCAACTGAGCCACCCAGGGCCCCCAGGAACACCTTTTATTTTAAAATTTTTTTCAGAGGGGAGAGGATTTTTTAGGTTTTATACAATGGTTTAAAAGTAAAGCTCTAGAATAAGCTACTGGAATAAAAGTATTAGCTGTTTTCCAATGTGATATTCAATTGAGAGAATATTTGGATATAGCAGTAGATGAGGAGTCTCTTGAAAAGAAATGTACTTCAATCCTAGAGACATGTGACCTGGAGATGGAGAGTGGGGTGATTAGGAAAAAGCGGGGAGGGGCGCCTGGGTGGCTCAGTCAGTTGGGTATCTGACTCTTGATTTCCACTCGGGTCGTGATTTCATGGTTTGTGAGTTCAAGCCCCACATGAGGCTCTGTGCTGACAGCATGGAGCCTACTTGGGATTCTCTCTCTCACCCTGTCTCTGCCTCTACCCTGCTTATGCTTTCTCTCAAAATAAATAAACAAAAAATTTTTTAAAAGAAGAAGAAAGGAGGAGGGAGGCCCTGCTGACAAACGTAACCTGATAGACAGATTTAGACTGCTCCTATATGATGTTGAATAGGTTTCTCTTTCAAGCAAATGGCAGTGTAATAAATGCTTTTAATTTTCAACATTAGAAAAAGTCTTGGTTGTGACACTGTTGTCATATGAATCAAGGGAATTCAAGGCAAACCTACTAACTTCTCTCAGTACAAATTAATTCTAGCAAATAGCACTTTAAGATGAGCTTGTAATATTTTAAAAATTCAGTTTCATAAATATTTATTGTGTGCCTAATGCTGGAAGATGAAGGTGGATTTCTATTCTGTGCTTATTGTTCTTTTTTAAAAAAATTTTTTTAACATTTATTTGTTTTTGAGAGACAGAGAGAGACAGAGCACGAGCAGGGGAGGGGCAGAGAGAGAGAGAGACACAGAATCTGAAGCAGGCTCCAGGCTCTGAGCTGTCAGCACAGAGGCCGATGCGGGGCTTGAACCACATGGACCACGAGATCACGACCCGAGCTGAAGTTGGACACTTACCGACTGAGCCACCCAGGCGCTCCTCTCTGCTTCTTCTTAAGCAATTCTAGCCAGTAAAATACCATGTGTTTGGGATGGGAATAATTTAGAGTGGTATGTGACCACCGAAGAGAAGACATTACGATTCCTCTGCTGTACTTACATTGTCTCCTACATTCACATAGTGCCTAACACTGAGCATTTTCCCTGCCTCTAAGTCAGCCCTGAAGTTAGTGGATGTCAAGAGTGGCATATGGAGCTAGCAGGAAGAACAGTCATTCAGGGATTTCAGAGCGGAGAATGATAAGGTAGAGTAGAATGTCATTTGCTTTCAGCAATTTTGTCTACTTCCTTTTTATTATAGAGAATATATGGTTGATTTGTATGTGCCTACATAAGATCCTGTAATGTTGCCTGCTTTGCAAATTACTAGCATTAAGAAATGATTTCAGCCTGAATGATTTTCAGTTGTTGATTCTTTTTTTTTCAGTTATTCATTCACCCACTCAATTTTTCTATATATCAGGTTTCCTGTAGCCCTAGTGTATAACTCCTCCCCCCCCCCCCAAAGAGACATAGAGAACAGGTAAATAACAAAATAAAAACTTTTTTTGGCCTTACTACAGGAATGGATACATAGGTTTTATTGTATTGGTGATATTTCATACTCACTTTAGTTTGATTCTCTTCAATGGTATACTAAAATGGAGATTGAGCTTTTTTTTTTTTTCCATTTTAGCATGCCAAGAATCAAGCACTACAAAGTGATGAGTGTAGGAAAAAACTACACTATTGAACTGGAAAAACCTGTAAGTAGTAATTTCCTTGTTTTTGATGACTTTTCTTCTGCTTTTCTCCAAACTTATCTTATAGAATTCAAGAAAGGTAGAAAAGTAGACCCTTTAGCTAGGACCATAGTGCTGGTGAAAAACATAATGAACATGTTAAGGAGCCCTGAAAATGGCAGATATCCAGGGTGAGAAGTGAAGTATAAGAGCAGGTGGATGGCACAGAAGATAATCTGCTGAGAATTCTTTCTACTTTTGTTTCTCTGCACTCTTTATCAATAGAGTTGTTTCAGGCAGAGAATATTTTTTTGTTAAACATCTGTTGCACATCCTCCAACTATATGTATTTCAATGTGCTTATTTCTAACAGGAAATTCTGTGTGTGCCTAGTCCTCTTATACCCATCAAGCAGAAGTTCAGGAAGCCCTGTCATAATAGCAACACAATCATGAAGAAATGGTTTCCTCTTGATCAGCAGCCCCTCTGTTATCCCAACCAACTTACCATGGGGCTAATGATATAATATCAGAATCACAAGTCACTGTGTTAGTCAGAGAGCTAAGCATTTTACCTATACCATTTAATTAATTAATTAATTAATTAATTAATTTTAATGTTTATTTATTTTTAAGAGAGAGAGAGTGCGAGCAGGGGAGGGACACAGAGAGAGAATATAATAATGCGGGCTATGGTCCCGGATGCTAGAAAAGGGAATACAGTTGTGTGATCCTAGGCTGCAGTGGCAGGAAGATTGGGACAGAAAAGTGATAACACATAAATGGAACTGATGAGTCTTGAAGATATTTATTTTAACCTCTCCAAAATTGAGCTCTTAATGCCTCTGTCTCTCTAGGCCCACTGTGTTGATCAAATAGAGAAAGGGACAGTATGGTTGAATTTTTTTTAATGTTTATTTATTTTTGAGAGAGCGTGTAAACAGGGGAGGGGCAGAGAGAGAGGGGGACAGAAGATCCAAAGTGAGCTCTGCACTGACAGCAGAGAACCTAATATGAGGCTTGAAAGCAGGAGCCATGGGACCATGACCTGGGCCGAAGTTAGAGGCTTAAGCAACCAGGCCACCCAGGCATCCCTGTATGGTTGAATTATTTATGTTTAGACCATAATTCTTTGAAAGCAGTAGTGATCTTTGTCAAGAGGAAAGAAGCTGCTGATTCATACACCCCACTTACATCTTTGCCATAAATGCCTCTCAGAACTTCTCAGTTCTCACGTCCATGCCTGCCAGGGCTTTTTAAAAAAACTCTAATGAAGGAAACAAAGAACTAGATTGCTGAAGGATGACCCAAATACCAACCAACTAGAAGCAATCGGGAAGCAGAATGTGCCTCTGTGACTGGAGAACTGGGGCTCGGTTATCCATAATTGGCCTGAATATTCCCCTGGATTGTTCTTTCACCTTCCACACTCCACAACACTACCCCTCAACCAGCTTGTCTTTCTATGAACTCTTTTTCCTTTACAAGGTTACCAGGGATATTCAGGTTTAACCAGATTTTACTTGTATAAAAATATTAGCTTGGGGGTAGCAACACTTTTCAGCTACTTAGTCAAGTAAATAGTCCTGTTCCAGTTAGATATTAAAAAGCTAAATTCTCTGGCTTTAAGTGTTCTTTCTTTTCAAACAGAGGAAACCAAATAACTAACTTAAGCAAAAACATATTTATTTAAGGACATAGGAAGCACATAAAATGACTGGAAAGCTGGAAGACCTTCAGATATTAGGAAGTGGTTACTTGTACAGTTGACCCTTGAACAACACGGGTTTGAAGGGTTTGGATCCACCTACATGTGGATTTATTTGTTTGTTTGTTTATTTAAGTAAACAAAGAGTAGTACTCTAAATGTATTTTTGTTGTGATTTTCTTAGTAACATTTCCTTGTCTCTGGCTTATTTTGTTGGAGGAATCCAGTATATAATACATATAACATACTAAGTATGTATTAATCAACTGTTTATGTTATCAGTAAGGCTTCTGGTCAACAGGGTATTACTGTTTAATTCTGGGAGGAAATAAAAATTATAACGTGGATTTTTGAGTACTTGGGGGTTGGCATCCCTAATCCCCTGTTGTTCAAGGGTCAGCTGTAGTAAGAACCACCCAATTAGGAATCTACTATCCTTCCTTGTTCCTCTACTCAAGTTCAAATTTCAGGAAGGTGCATTTTCTGTTCTAAACTGAGTCACATTCTCATGCAGTAACTGCGAAAGAGCAGTGTACCAAATTATTGTCCATCAAAGTGTATCCAAATGGGAAAAGGGAAATTTCTCATCAGGGAATTAGATATTATAAAAGAGAAATAAAATGCATGGCTAGGTAAAACCTTGGCCATTCAGTACCTCATTGAAGTGAGGTATTGATCTGTTTTTCTATAGATCAGGAAATTCACAGTAGTCTTCATTAAATTTCATACAAGCTTTCTCTTACTCTATCTTTACACAGATGACACTGAGCCTTCTCTAACTCTTGTTATACAGGTAACGCTCCCAAACCTTTTCAGCGTCATTGATTATTTCATGAAAGAGACTCGAGGAAATTTACGACCATTTATATATTCAACCGATGAATCCCTTGGTATGTTCTTCACTGTGTTGCTGTGTTAAGGAAAGCAAAACAAAACAACCCCCCCCCCACCAGCCCCCATCATATGTGGTTTGTAATACCAGCCAGGTAGGAATGTAGTTCAGCCCTCAAATTTATCTATTTGGAAGTCATTTTGTCACTAATCCTGTGGGAATAAAAGGAGTACCAATATACCCTGGTGGATAGAATATCGGCCCATTCTAGAGAAAGAAAAGCCCAAAAGCATGTATCATGACTACTAATTTCGTCCATCATTCTACTTGGCTTTATCAAACAAGTTAGAGATAAGAAGAAAACCATGCTCTTTGGTTTCCAGAGAGTCATGGAAACAAAACAGGGAATTTAAAAGTATGATCTGTCAATAATATCAGATACTCTATTCAGATTAAAACAGATGATGATTAAGGAGAGGCTATGGGAATTGGCCATTAGGCAGCAGGGAACTTGAGAGAGAGGCTTATTCCACCATAAAGACAGGTCAGAGTCTAAGACAACAAGGAGAGAGTGAGTGATGAGGAACTATAGATAAAAAGTGTAGTCAAGACTGGCTAAGGGTTTGTGGGGCCCCTTGTTCATAAACTGTTAGGAATTTCAAAGCAGTGATAACAGATCATTAAACCAAGAATGGGACCCTATGCAATTGCATAGTTCACATGACCATGAACCTGGCCCTGTTTGCAGTCCAGTTTTTTGCAGGGTAGGGCAGGCTGAAGGTGAACCTTTCTCTCTGTTCTTTGAAACAATCCCTGGTATACATGGGCATTTGACAAAAGCTGTGGGCAGGAGAAAGTATCTCCAGCTAGTTTAGATTCAGTTATCAAAAGAAGTCCCCATTCCTACAGATTATGAGGAAAAACAACTTTGTTTGGCTGCCTGCATCAGGGCATATCCGGAAAGTCTGATTAAATTTCAAAAACCAGCAAGTTTAAAAGTCCAAGGTTGAAAACATCCTTATGATTATTGTGATTCCAAATAATTAAAGAAACTCAGAGTCTGAAGAAACTTTAGGAAAATTATCTGGTAGAGTGTCTCACACTGTATAGAAATAACCTGCATACTCAGTACAGAAAACATTTCTAAGATGTGACCATTCAGCTTGTTTGGAAATTCCTAATAATGGTCATCTCACTGATTTTTGAGGTGGCACACTTCACTTTACTTTTGATCAGCTCTCATATTAGAGAATTCTTCCTTCATACTGAATCAGAAAGATTTTTTTCCTTTAACTTTTACATATTAATCCAGTTTCTGGATTTGAAACAACTCAGGGTTTTAAAAAGCCCATCAAGTATTTAAAAGCAGCCGCCATGTCCCCCCTCAGTCTCTCTCTGTCCTGTATAAGTTATTGGTTCCTTCAGCCCTCTTACTCTCATCTTTGACCTCCTCTGTATACTAATTTCTGAACATCTGTCTTAAAATATAACTACACAGGAAATACTATAGATATGGTCGGAATAATTTATTACCCAAGCTTAATGCAGGAAAACACCATTTATAGAGATTTCTAACAAGTAACTATTAATATAATGGCTTTTTTTTTTTTTCAGAGACCAAAGGATTTCCTGTGCCATCTGTAAAACTGAAAAAAAGTGTTTAGGGTGGAGGGGATTATGATATAATTGCTTCGTGTCAGTTATCTAATGCTGTGTATCAAACCACCCTAAAACGTGGTAGTTAAGTCAATAATCATTTATTTGCTCACGATTCTGTCTGCTGGCAATTTGGATTGGATTCACCTGGGCAGTTCTTCTGCTAGCCTCACTTGCTGTCACTTACACAATGGTAACCAGCTGATGGCCTGACTGGGACTGTAGGCTTCAAGTTGGCGTCATTCACACATCTGGCACTGGTGGTCAGCTGGAGCTGGCTGAACCACTCTTTTCACATATTCTTTAAACTGCGAAGTTAGCTCACACTTTCTCACATAGATCTTGGAGCTGTTAAGAAGAAAAGGATAGTTCAAGTCCTTGGGCTAGAAATTCTTAGTGCTAAGAATCAAGTATGGCCCTCTCTGTTGGAGCTTTTAATATAGGTGTGAAATGAATAAATAAATCCAAGTGTGATGTGTCTTATGTACAGGGGCTGTCCATCTTTCTTTTTTAAAAAGAATTTAATTTACATGCAACAAAATTCACTTTTTTGGTGTATAGTCCTATGAGTTTTGACAACCACCACCAGAATAAAAATACAGGAAGTTCTGTCACCTCAAAAAAAAAAAAAATGCCCTTTCTTTCTTTGTAGTCATCCCTTCTTCTCATCCACAGTCCTTATCAACTACTGATCTATTTTCCATTTCTATAGTTTTGCACTTTCTGAGTTCATGGAATCACAGTATGGAAACTTTTGAGGCTGATTACTTTCAGTCATCACAAGGTCTAGATTCGCACAAGTGTGTGTATTACTGGCTTGTTCTTTTTTATTGCTGAGTAGTATTTCACTGTATGGAAGAGTTAGTCCGTTTATCCACTCAATAATTAAAATATATTAGGGTTGGGGTGCCTGGGTCAGTTGGTTAAACGTCTAACTTCAGCTCCAGGTCATGATCTCATGATTCATGAGTTTGAGCCCCACATAGGGCTCTGTGCCTGCTTGGGATTCTCTCTTTCTCCATCTCTCTCTGACCCTCCCCTACTCAAAATAAATAAACTTAGGAAAAATAAAATGTATTAGGATTGTTTCCAGTTTTTAGCAATCACTTATTAAACTATATAAATATTCATATGCAGATTTTTGTATAAACATGTCATTTCATTTGAGTAAAATATTTAGAAATGAGATTATTGGGTTATATGGGAAGAATAGTCCTAACTTTATAAGAAACTTCAAACTCTTCACAAGCAGTTCTACATTTTTGCACCTCTGTAACTGACATTAGACATTTGTAGCCACATCCTTATCATCACATGGTACTGTCATTTTTTAAAAAAATTTTCAGTAAGCTCTATACCACACATGGGGCTCAAACTGAGAACCCTGAGATCAAGAGTTACATGCTCTACAGACTGAGCCAGCCAGGGGCCCCATTGGTATTGTCATTTTTTAAAAAACATACTCTACGGGGCACCTGGGTGGCCCAGTCAGTTAAGTGGCCAACTTCCGCTCAAGTCATGATCTCGCGGTTGGGGAGTTGGAGCCCCATGACGGGCTCTGTGCTGACAGCTCAGAGCCTGGAGCCTGCTTCAGATTCTGTCTCCTCTCTCTGCTCTTTCCCTGCTCACGCTGTCACTGTCTCAAAAGTAAACATTAAAAAAAAAACAAAACTCAAATAAGTATGTAGTGGTATTTCTGTGGATTTAATATGCATTTCCCTAATGATTAATTATGTTGAGCATCTTTTCCTGTGCTATTTGACATCCATATCTCTAATTTGGTAAAATATCTGTTTAAACCTTTTGCCCACATTTTTGCTGGATTGTTTTCTTATGGTTGAATTTTGCTAGTTCTGTGCATATTCTGAATATAAGTCATTTGTCAGATATAATTTGCAAATTATTTTGGTTTTTTTTTCATTATTTTAAGGGTCTTTTGCAGAGCAGAAGTTTTAAATTTTAATGAACTAAAAATTATCAATTTTCTGTAGATTGTACTTTTGGTGTAGTAACTCTTTGCCTAAACTAAGATCACACCTAACCTAAGATCGCAAAGATTTTTCTTCCTATATTTTCTTCTAGAAGTGTTCTAGTTTTATATTTTACATTAGATCTATTATGACTTTTAAGGGCAAAATTAATTTTATTTGCATTTAGGTATGTAATTGTTCTAGCATCATTAGTTAAAAAAAGATAATCTTTTCTTAATCCAATAGCCTTTGCACCTTTGTAAAAAAAAAAAAATCGGTTGACCATATTTTTGTGGATCAATTTCCACTGAGGTATATTCCTACCCTTCTGCCAATGCAATGCTATCTTGATTACTGTAGCCTTACTGTAATTCCTGAAATCAGAAGGTATGAACCCAATTTTTTTTTTAAAGTGTTTGGATTAATCTAGTTTCTTTGCCTTTCAGTACAAGTTTTGTTTTTTAATTTTTAAAGTTTTATTTATTTTTGAGAGATATATAGAGACAGTGTGAGCAGGGGAGGGTCAGAGAGAGAGACGGAGTCACAGAATTTGAAGACAGCCTCCAGGCTCTGAGCTGACTGTCAGCACAGAACCTGATGAGGGGAGGTCGAAACCATGAACTGTGAGATCATGACCTGAGCTGAAGTCAGACGCTTAACCGACTGAGCCACCCAGGCGGCCCCATTAAGTTTTATAATCAGCATGTTATTTACAGAAAAATCCTCCAGAGTTCTGATTTGGATTTTGTTGAAGCTTTAGATGAGTTCAGGAAGAATTGACATCTTGACAATATTATTTTCCAATTGAGGAATAAATCTATCCCTCCAGTTATTTAGGTTAACATTGATTTATTTTATAGTTCTTTGTAGTTTTCAGCACACAGACCCTACACATATTTTGTTAGATTAATACCGATTTAACTTTTGGTGCTATGTATGATACTGTTTTTAACATTTGGATTCCAATTATTCATTGGTAGTAGACAAATACGATATTTGTATATTGATCTTGTAATTCCAAGATTTTATTTGTTAAACTCATGTATACATTTCTAAGGGAGTTTTTCTTTAAGATTTCTTGATTTTCTATGTAGAAATCATTCTTCTGTGGATAGAGACAGTTTTAGTTCATGTTTTCTGATTTGGATACCTTTTATTTATTTTCCTTGTATTACTACACTGGCTGGGAGGTCCAGAAATGGTGACAGTTGACATCCTTACGTTGCTTCCAGTTTTATTTTTTATTTTTATTTTTTTTTACAAATAGTTTATTGTCAAATTAGTTTCTACATAACACTCAGTGCTCATCCCCAAAGTGCCCTCCTTCATGCCCATCCCCCCCTCCCCCCCACATCCATCAGTCCTCAGTTTTT